CTCAGGCAATCCACTCACCTCAGCCTCCCAAAGGCGCAGGATTACAGGCTGAGCCACCGAGCCCGGCTGAAATGATTTTTTAATTTTTCCACTCTAATGTCATGTGAATTTATGAGTTACTCCAGTGCCTCAATTATTTATCAGTGATGTTTCTAGACTCCTTACCATCCTTGGCTCACCTTGGACTGTTCAACAATTCAGGGATGGTAAAATGGTAAATTTCATCTTACCCATTGTTTCTGATGGATTGCTAGTGACTGAGCATAACTTGTCATTTGTTACTCTTTTCTTTTAAATCCAATACAGGTCTTTGCATCTTGTTTCAAATTTTCTAGTTGGTTTTAGCCCTTTGGCATGCTAGCCTGTTAGAAAACTGATTTAGCAGTGGGTAAACCTGAGTCATGCTGTTTCATGGCACAGGGAAGGAGCCCACAAGGTCAAGTTGATCACAAAGAACATGCAAAGTTTCACACCGGTGTGTATGTCACAACTGCTCACAGAGCAAGTCACATGGCCAAGGTCAGAGTTAGCACACAGAAAGGAACACTCTACCCTAGTGAACCATGGCAAGGGTGGGAAGAGGGGGAAAAAAATTGGAAAATAATACAATCTACCAGACATGGCATAAGCTGTTTTTCCAAGTTGTGTGTCTCTGGAAAATTTGACATTGTTGACATAGCAACATCGCTTCCCAAGCTGTTATGAGATGGCCATCATGCCTTTGGATCTTCTCATTTTTGGTTTCCAGGTTTTTGTTTTTGTTTGATTGCTTTTTAAAGCAGCCAGTATTTTAATAGTAACACATAAAATACAGTTTGTCTTCCTGAGACTTGGACACTTCAAAAACCAAAATACAAGGCAGCACATGGTTATTGTCAAAATACATAGAGATACTTACATATCATATATCATATTATGTAGTCATTTGGAGATCAGATTTGTCGCTACAGTTTGAGGTGGTTCTAGAAGGGGAATATGGGATAAGAGTTGGATAAGAGTTTGGAAAGTGAAGTAGGAGGAGACAGGACTTGCCATTGAGTATGTGCAGTGGGGCAGAAGTCAGGAATAGGGGAAGGGCTGAAGCTGGACCCGCTTAGTTGAGTAACGGGACAATGGGAGACAGGCTGGAAAGGAGGGAGGAACATGCTGTGGAGGTTCCTGCCTAGCAGACATTTGTGTTCCTTTGCCAGGAGAGTTGCTAAGGCTTTAGAACAGGAAACGACTCTATCAGTGTAATGTTTTAGGGAATTAATGTGGCAAACACTGTGGAGGGGAAAGAGACAGGAGAAAGGTAGTCTTCCAGCTCTGAAGTGATAAAGGCCTATAGTTTCGTATTGTAGTAGGACAGTACAACGAAGTGGGATAAAACATAGTGAAAGAAGCAATCAGGATTTGGAGTGCCAAATAATCCTGTCTGCAGAAGTTAAGATTATTTAATTTCTCCATCCTGCTCTCCAGGCAAGTTTTGTCGTACCAGAAATATATATATATATATATATATAATATATATATTTTGAGTTGGAATCCTGCTCTATCGCCAAGGCTGGAGAGCAGTGGCACGCTCATGGCCTACCACTTGTTGGGCTCCGGCAATCTTTCTGCCTCAGCCTTCCAAGTAGCCGGAACTACAGGCATACACTACCACGCCCGGCTAATTTTTTGATTTTTATTGTAGAGACGAGGTCTCACCATGTTGCCCAGGCTGGTCTCAAACCTGAGGGCTCAGGCAAGTCTCTTGCCTCAGCCTCCCAAAGTGCTGGGATTGCAGGCTTGAGCCACCGCCCCCAGTCAGAAAATAATATTTTTAACATGCAATTTAGCCTTCTTAGAGTCAGTTCTTCTCAGAGAACAACAAAACATTGTCCTCCTTAGAACAGGTCAGTACAGAAGGGACTCTTCTGGTGGCCTGACATCTCTTTGCACAGAAGGAGGTTTCACTGCTACTTTGGTAGCAGAGTCATTGTTTTCACCAGCTGGGCACTGGCTTTGTGAAGGTACATGCATGACAAGAAGATGGAGCATACAGATGTGGAAAAAATAAAAAATTAATACACACATATTAATGCATATGCATCTTCCATATATTTAGATCCTTCTACTCAGAACTGCCTTATTATTCCAGGCTTGCCTCAAATCCCGTGTACTCGAAGGAACCAATCGGTTTTATGGGCATCCAATCCAAGAAGACCTAACTAACCTGGCTTCTGTGATGGCTACCTGGGATGTGACATTTAAGCTAAGACCTGAAAGATGAGTTAGCCAGTAAAGATGTTGGGGGAGGGAGATGTTGGTTCAAGGGATTTTCCAGATAGCAAGCTGCTGGTGAGAATGTCCTGAGTTTGGGGAAAGATTTTGGCTTATTTGAAGAACTAAAATGCTGAAGTAAGCAAAGGAAAAAGTGGCACAAGATAGGGTTAGAGAAAGTGATAGGAGAACCAGGGCTTTATAGACTGTATTTAGAAATTTAAATTTTATAAGAGCAAAGAAAAGTCATCATAGAATTTTCAGGTTGACAAATGACATGATCTGCTTTGCAATTAAAAATAACAATAATCATCAAAACTGCTTTATGGAGAATGGACTAAAAGGGAGCTAAGAGCTGAAGTAAGGCAGTCATTTGGGAATCTTCAGAGAGCATAGGGAGGTAGCCAGAGAGAAGTAGATGAGATGGGAAATATTTAGGAAGAAGAAATCAGCAAGGCTGAGGATCAGGTGTAGGGGGTGAGGGAGAAGGCAATGTCAAAGATGACTCCCAGGTTTCTAGCATGTACTATTTCTAGAAAAAGCAGGTTTGAGAAGATGATGAGTTTGGTTCTGAGTGTGGTTTGCAGAGTCCACGGGTCAGCCAATACTGTAGAGTCAAGTGGGGGCTGTCTGTGTGGGTGGGAAGCTCAGAGGAGAGGTGTGAATGGCATACCTAGGAGTCCTCCATCTAGGATAGAAAGCTGTAGGTGAGGCCATCACAGCACAGCATGAGGACAAGCGTAGGTAAAGACCCAGGCATGGTCTGGGCACTGACAGCACTGAACATGCAATGGCTTGGCAGTGCAAGTGGAGGTGAAGGAGAGAGAATGCCAGAGAGGAAGGAAGAAGCAAAGAAGATGTGTGGTCACCATCACCAAGGAAGAAAGTATCTCAAGAATGGAGGCATCCCATCCATCTAAACAACATTCAAAGCACAATCAGCCAGACAGCCCAAGAAAGCAAGGAGGCAATAGCATGCCCTGGACTTGACACCTGGAGGTTAGCTGCTTAAGCTGAGTTTCTAGAATGTCCTCTGCCTGGGTGCTCGGTGATGGGGCGAATGCAGGGATCTCCAAGTTTGGGCATCTGCATACACAGAACTTCCTTTTAGTTCTCTGAAACATGCAACTGGATCCTCCCGCGCGACCCGTTGCAACACAGCCCGCAGCCGCGGTCATCCGCTCGCCGGCCCCGCCCCAACTCGGAAAGCGGCCGCCGCCGGGGGAGGTGGCAACGTCCGTGGAACAGCCGCGTCTGATTGGCTGAACGCTGCAGCTCTGCGGTGATTGGCGGAGGCGGAAGGGGGCCGGGGGCCGGCGCTGCCTTTTCTCTCGCCGGCTGCTTTCGTTTCTCTACGCTAAGTTTGCAGGGGGCGCGCTCGCCGGACCCCAGACCCAGCGGAGGCCTCCCCGCAGCGCCCCGTTCGCTCCTCCGGGTGCTGCGCAGAGTGAGTGACCCTGAGGCTCCGGAGCCTGGGGTGGGACGCGCGGGGACAGGGGGCCTGAGGTCGCGGGGCCAGGACGGGCTTCCAGTGCAGACGGGGAATCCGTGGTCCCAGGGAGAGAGCGCGTCCCGAGCATCCTAGGTGACAGCAGAACCACCTTTCCTGGTGGTGTCACGGTTTTCCTGGCTGCAAAGATGACTGAAATAGAATACCCCCCCCGACTCTGCACGTTCCCACTTACCTTCACTTCCGCCCCTTTCCTTCACAGTCGCATTTTCTTCTTTTCGCAGAAAGTGTCATTTGTGGTGTGCCATCCTCGAGAACTGTCCAGATTCGCGCTCGCACCCTGGGTGGGCATCCTCAGTCGTCTTGACACCCAACGTGTTGTGTGTAATTGCTGCTTTAGTTGAATCCCCAGCACCCCCCGCCCCCCCCCCGGGGCTCAAGGTGGCAGGTCAGTAAATGCTCATGAAAACCAATGAATGGGTACGTGACTTTGAGATCTTAATTATGCGTCTGTGTTTAAGGATGGTGGCGCTTAATGTCTTCTTGGAAGTTAAAAGTGATGTTTAGTTCCTGCAAATCCCCAAATAATATAATTACTCGTAAAAAAAAACAATCGCACGAGCTCTGGGGTAGGTATGTGGATGTGTGGTTGATTGTGCTTTGAGTGTTAGGATATATTAGAAAGTGAGTTAGGATATATTAGAAAGTGAGTTGTTTTTATGGGACAGAAATAGGACTTGAGCCTCCCGCACAATCCATTGTGCAACCATTACTTAATGAGGTTGCTGGACTCACTTGTGGGATCATAGTAGGGTTTGTTTCTTACTTTCTAATTCCCTTCAAAATATTCGTGATTTCAATTCAACACACTGTATTGAGCACATACTAAATGCAGGATACTGTCCAAGGTTTGGAGGATGTTAAAAGGAAAATGCCCCCTACCTCACCCTGGAACTCTGGAGCTTAAATCCTGCAACCGAGGCATCATAGAGCCTCACAAGAAAGACTGGAAGTGATGTTCTAATAGACAGAATGCAGTGAGGCACAAGACAAAGAAATCTTAGTTGTCTCTGGGTAAGTCACTCAGCTTTTGCAGGAGGGGCATTTGCACCTAGAGTTGAATGCTGTAGGATTTAGAGCCTGATTTGTGGGGAGACTGTTTGCAAGGGTGAGTAGCAACTGGAGCAAAGCAGACATGTTACTCACAGTCAGAACAACAGTAAATAATTTGGTGATTGGGTTGCTTTGTTGGTGGATGAAGATGGGATGGGGTGGCAGTCAGCCTAGGAATGGGCAAACTGTAGCATTTTTGTCCAGGAGAATGATGGGATGTGGTCCAACCTATGTGCAGCAGAGGCTGGATTGGGAGGGCAAAGTGTTGGAGGCAGGGAGGCAGCAAGTCTTGGGACTAGAAAGGAAGGAGCCAACCCTAAATTTGGGGTTAGCTCCCAGTGACTGGGAGTGGTCGTACCACTCCCTAGGTTGGTATCAGCTCTTGTGAGAAGATGAGATGCGTTCTGGGTCTGTTCACGTGAGTCTACTGACACACCTGTTCTGTGCCAGGGGCTGTGAATGACCAGCTCATCCAGCCTTAACAACCACCTGCCTTGCTGCTAGGGGCGTGAGCTGCCCAGGTTCACATGGATAATAAGAGATGAGCAGTCCAGTTTGTGTGCTTTTGGTATATCCTTTTTAGACCCCTAGCAGAGAGGGAGAGAGCTGTGTACCTGGGGCCTTTTGCCCAGGTGAGATGAATTGGAAATGAAAGACGAAATTGCTCCAGCCTGAGCTCCACGGGGAGTGGCCTTGGGTCCATGTCTACTGGCATCCCAGATAGTAACTAGCTTTGTAGGTGAGATAGTGCTGTGCCCTCCTTTGGAGGGACATTGGTGGAGTAGGCATGACTTCATGCCTGCACACCCATGCTCCATGACAAGCAGCATGCACACTCTTCCATGCCCTCCCTGAAAATCCAGACCCCTTCCCCAGAGATCTGGCAGGACAGGATTCACTTGTAGCCATGCTAAATGTTGCCTGGCCTGTGCTGATAAAAATCTTAAGTTCCATGGTGGTCACAGGAAGCTCTTCATTTTCCTAATAGACATCCTTCAATCAGGGTTTTGTTGTGATTTTTCATCTTCAGGATCACTATATAAAAATTGACTTAGCAGTTTCCCAAAGAGATAAGTGTTACTTTATCCTTTCAAATTACATTTAATGATGTTGTTTCAATCTTTAAAAAATTATTACCGAGATTTAAAATTTCATGTCAGACTTATTTGCACTAGGCAAAGAAGAAAATATATCTCTTAATTTTAAACATGTAAACAAAAATAATTTTTGCTGTATGAACCATCAAATAGAAAATACCAGTTTAAAACTCTGTTACATCACAAATATACTGTATTTGTAGGAGAACAATTTTTGGAGAGGTCTTGTGATTTGTCTTAAAGCAAATCTAATTAACGTTTTACATTTATTTATTTGATTAAATGCAAATTTATTTTAAAGACATATTTATAGAAAACCTACTATGTGCCTGACATTGTTCTGAGGATACAGCAGTAAACAGACTCACCCCCACAACCCCCACCAGTCCTTCCCTTCGGGTGACAACAGGCAAAAATTAAAAAAAAAAAAAAAAATTTGTGATAGGTCAGGCGGTGGTGGTAAGTGCTATGAAGAAAAAATCCATCAGGGAAGAGGAACGCATTTTCTAGGGTGGGAGGTCGTTACAGTTTAAATAAGGGGCCAGAGAAGGCTACCCTGATATTTTGACAATTGAGCAAAGAGCTGAAGGTGTGATTCCTGGAGAAGAAGAAAAAGTTGACCCCAAAACTCGATTAAAAACAGGTTTTCTCAGTATGGAGATTTTTTCAAAGAATTAAAAGTAGACTTGCCATTTGACCCAGCAACCCCGCTCCTGGGTATGTATCCAAAGGAGCACAAATCACTCTACCAAAAAGACACCTGCATGAGCATGTTTATCACAGCACTATCCACAATAGCAAAAACATGGAACCAACCTAGGTGTCTATCAGTGATGAACTGGATAAAGAATATATGGTACATGTGCATCATGGAATACTATGCGGCCATTAAAAAGCATGAAATCATATCCTTTTCAGCAACATGAATGCAGCTAGACACCATCATCCTGAGCAAGTTATAATAGAAACAGAAATATTGAGTACCATATGTTCTCCCTAATAAGCAGGAACTAAATACTATATGCACATGACACAAGAATGGGAACAAGATATTGGGGCACTCCTAATGGGGGATGGAGGGGGGTAAGGGCTGAAAACCACCCACTGAGTGCCATGTCTACCACTGGGTGACGGGATTGATAGAAGCCCAAGACTCATCATCACACAATACTCCTATCTAGCAAACCTGCTCCCTTTGAATTAAAAAAAAACAACAAAACTTTAGAATATAAATCCCATTTAAGTAATATATTTCTGGTCTGGGTGTGGAGTCTCATACCTGTAATCCCAGCACTTTGGGAGGCTGAAGCAGGTGGATTGCTTGAGCCCAGGAGTTTGAGACCAGCCTGGGCAACAGAGAGAGACCTCGTGTCTGCAAAAAATTTAAATTAACTGGGCGCGATAATGCATACCAGTAGTCCTAGCTACTTGGGAGACCGAGGTAGGCGTATCACCTGTATCTAGGAGGTCAAGGTTGCAGTGAGCCGTGATTGTGCCATTGCATTCCAGTCTGGGTGAGAAAGTGAGATCCCAGCTCTCTCTCTATATATATTTATTTATTTATAAATTTACATACATTTCTGGGACAATTTTTGTCTTGGATGAAGTGAGATGTTGACAAGTGTCATGGCACTAGGTGGCAGCATGGAAACATGAATGTATTTCTGTTCATAATGTATGTTCTGCTTCCTGCAGGATGTCTCAGTGGTACAAGCTCCAGCAGCTCGACTCCAAGTTCCTGGAGCAGGTTCACCAGCTGTACGATGACAATTTTCCCATGGAAATCAGACAGTACCTGGCACAGTGGCTAGAAAAGCAAGACTGGTAAGGAAAACTCATAGATCAGAGGAAGAGGTTTATCTGCACCTTAGAAATAACTCGTTGATTCAGTGACTTGGGGCAATGTTTATAGGAAGATGATCTCATCAAGGGCCATTAGGATTATCTGCTGCAGAAAAGTTTATTGATTTAAGAAATGGCATGGGATTTCTCTACCAAGCTAAATATACTAGTCATTTAACTCTTTTTTGTGTGTGTGGCTAAATTTAACTTATGATATGTACTCCTAAATGCTTTGGACAAGTTACATCATACTGACACCAATAATTTTCCAATTTAGGATCCAGGCTATAGAAATATATAACTTAAAAGCAGTAACTAAAGCCAAAGTATGGTAACATTAGAAATATGAAGAAGGTAGTAAAATTAAGGAGCTACTTCTTAAAACTGATAGATATTCTGCTTTAAAATGTATTATTCGCTGATTATAAAAGTTGTAACCATTCTGAAAGTATTTGACATAGAAAGGGAAGGCACCTGCTCATTTTTTTCCCCTCCAGAGATAATCACCATGCATAGTTTCATGTGCCGTCTCTTAAGAGTTATAGAATTTTTCATGCTAATTTCACAAAATAGATATATTGTGTACATTACTGCTAAAAGCAACACCAGTTTCAAAAGGAGAAAATGAAATCTAAGAAAACTCATTATTTTTAATAATTTCAGTAAGGAAAGCAGTTTACTTTGTGCATTTTAAGCAGACATTCCTTTCTAGAATGAAATGTGTAAATGTCACCCTCTCAGGGAACACGCTGCCAATGATGTTTCGTTCGCCACTATCCGTTTCCATGACCTCCTGTCGCAGCTGGATGATCAGTACAGTCGCTTTTCTTTGGAGAACAATTTCTTGTTGCAACATAATATTAGGAAGAGCAAGCGTAACCTTCAGGTATGACCTGGTTTTTGTGTTTTAGCTGATGTGTTCTCAAGCTTACATAAGACAGTTTTCTTCATTCTGCAAATACTGTTGAGCACACACAGGTATTTAGAGACATTACAGAGAGTGTAAATATACTTACTTTATATGGCTAATATTTATAGCATAAGTAAAATGAAATATCCATTTGTTTTATTAACACAAAGAATTTTCAGGTTTAAGTGTATTGCCTCTTATATGTCAGTAATTCTGAAAAAATGTGATACTATGACTTTGTTTTGCTAAAAATTTTTGATACTTAAAGAGAAGAGGCTATATTTTAAGAACAACGAGCTACAATAACCTATTAAAGCTCCAGGGAAGGTTAGTGGTCAACTCGATCCAGGTCCTTGGTCTAAAGAAAAGGATTACATCTGGAAAGGCTTGGTTTCCCTCAGAAGTCAGGTGGCTTCACGAACACACACTCTTCCTTGCCTTGCTTCCGGTGGATTGCCCTCCCCTGGAAGAAGAAGTGAAAGGAAGAGCCAGAGAATATGCCACGAAGTTTTGGGAGTTCTCCAAATGCGCTCCCAGAATGCCATTAGCCTGACTACCATATTTATTTCTGTATTAACAGAACTTTTCTTTTTTAATGGAGGTGAAAGCTATCGTTTTGTTTCATACAACACAACCAAACTTTTCGACTTAGGTCATTGGAAACTTGCTTTTTCTTTCTTTCTTTCCTTTGTGAATGTGTGTGTATCTGTGATTTTATAATTTAACTAGTGGGTGGGGAAATCAGATTAACTTTACAGAAATCTGTTCTCATAGACTTTGCATGAATGTACCTCTATAAAGAGCCATAATGGCTAGTAATTTGTAATCTAGCTCTGACAAGGGTGACAGAAAATATAAATATGAATATCTTTGGAATAATTCAAAGCATAGACCAACAGATACATTAATTGAGGAATATAATGGATAGTTTTTATATCTTTTGCATTGTTTCAGGATCCTAACAGAAGATAATTGGCCTCAAAAAATACGGAAAGATAGTAAAGTAAAAATATTATATGAACCTTTTATGAACATACTTTGGTTTTTAATCAAAAAGTACTTTAGGCCAGGCATGGTGGCTCACACCTGTAATCCCAGTACTTTGGGAGACCAAGGGAAGAGGATTACTTGAGACCAAGACTTCAAGAGCAGCCTGAACAACACAGCAAGATATTGTATCTACAAAAGAAATTTTAAAAATTAGTCAGACTTGGTGGCATGTGCCTGAAGTCCCAGCTCCTTGGGAGACTGAGGCAGGAGGATTGCTTGAACCCAGAGGTTCAAGGCTGCAGTGAGCCATGATAGTGCCACTGCATTCCAGCCTGCGTGATGGAGTAAGAGCTCGACTTAAAGAGAAAAAAGTACTTTAGGTACCTGCACTTAATTGGAAAGCTAAAGCAACTTTTGTCATAATTTGTAAAAAGAGTATTTTTATTTTATGTAAAATTTAATAGATGAGAGATGAGGTTTCTTAGGGAATAGGAACAAATTTATATCAACTTATAACACACAATGGTTTAAGCATTCTGATTTTTAATTTATTTGTATTCTAACTACTCAAATCTAGGATCATTTTCAAGAAGATCCAATTCAGATGTCTATGGTCATCTATAACTGTCTAAAGGAGGAAAGGAAGATTTTGGAAAATGCCCAGAGATTTAATCAGGTACTTTTTGCTAATAGAACACTAAAAATTATAATAAAGTAAACATTGGCTAGGCTCTGTTGTTCATGCCTGTAATCCCAGCACTTTGGGAGACTTATGTTGCCCAACCTGGGCAACATAAACGAGACTTCATTTCTACAAAAAATTTTAAAAATTAGCTGAGCGTGCTGGTATTCGCCTGCAGTCCTAGCTACTCAGGAGGCTGAGGTAGGGGGATTGCCTGAGCCCAGGAGTTTGAAGGTGAAGTGAACCATGATCATGCCACATGCATCCAGCCTGGGTGACAGAGGGAGACCCCAATTAAAAAAAAGAAAGAAAGTTAAAAGGTTAAAGAGTCCCCCTGTAAGTGCCATCAGTATCAGAAGTATGCACAGCCAGCCTTACAGCGGCTCCCCAGGAGATGGGGTAGGGTCCAGGGTGCAGGGAGGAGCTAGAGGAAGGAGTGAGAACACCAAGGGGTCTCAGTGGCTTGCCGGCCTGCTGCTCCAGGAGGAGGCAGGAGGTTTCTGAGGCCTCTGGCACAGTTGCCAGGTTTCTCTACCAGGCAGCTCCCGTGAGCCCCAAGAAGAGGGTGGAGAGGCAGGATCGGGAGCTGCGTGTGCACAGCCTGTTGCTGGCTATCTCTCCATTCACTGTATGGAGCCAGAATAGTTTGGGAGGAGACCTGGGAGGTCAGGGTCCTCTGGTGGCTGGGTCCTGCTGTTTGGGTGGAGTGTCCCAGATGTCACAGAGGCCACAGGACCCCCACATCCTGCCGGCTTAGAGTAGAGACAGCCAAGATGTCCCTGTGCTGGCTGAAAGCCTTCTGGAACTGCTCCAAGAGAAAGCTCATTCTAACGGCTGAGTAGCCCCTTTTATCACTTAGTGACATGCTGCTCTTGCACTAGCAGGATGCCAGTGATGTTCACTTCTTTCGAATCCACATTTATACACATGTTACAGCTGACACAATCCACATGCTGCAATGTCCTGCTATTCCGGAGTCTCTAAGATGAAGGGAGACTCGCCATGAAGAGAGAACACCTTGATGATCTAAATCTGACAAAGACAGAACAGAAAGCTATAGCCAGCCCACTTTTACTTGTGAATATCAGTGTACAAGTTCTACATTAGACATTAGGGATCAGGATTAAACATGACATTATGAAAATAATACATCATGACCGAGTGGGTTTTATTATAAGTTACAAGGGGAGACCATGACTGGGAAATCCAGGAATGTAATAATAAAAGGAGAAAAAACATTTTCTGCCCACCATAGAAGCAGAAAAGGTCTGAGAAAACCCAATGCCCATTCCTAATAAAAACATTCAAGAAGATAGGAATTGATAGGCGTAGCATACTAAAATACACACCTCGCAGCTCTTCCTTGACTGGGGAAGCTGTAGTGAGTCGCTGGTGCACATAGCTTTGACCACTCCTTAACGTGGTGTTGGTGGGGCTGGCCAGCGCAGCTAGACAAGAGGAAACCATTAGAGGCACAAGACTTAAGAAACAGCATCATAAAGATAGTAACTCTTCCCGAGTTAATTCATACTTTCAATATGATCCCGATAAAAATGCCAGCAAGCTGCTTTTTGGAGTGATTCAAACTGATTCTGAAATTTGTATGAAAAGTAAACATGCAATAATAGCAAGGAAACTTCTGGAAGAGTAGAATGATGAAATGGGACTGGCCCTGCTAGATATACTCTAAGTCCTCAGTAGTTAAACATACTTCAGGGGTTCAGGCTTATATAGAAGTAAACCCGGGTGCATATGGAGATTGATATGATAAAGATAGCAGCATAAAGCACTGGGGATAATCTTGGACTTTTCACTTTTCATGTTAAGGCAAATTGAAATCTATTGGGAAAAAAGTAAAAATCGAACCCATATTTCACACTAAACACAAGAATAAACTTCAAATGTCTTAGATCTAAAAGAGGAAAAAAGAAAAGGAAAGAAACCATGCAAATACTTGAGGGAAAATAATGGGGTGAACTCCTTTATAATTTGTGGATAGAGACTTTCTAATATGAGGGGAAATCCAGGCATGAAGAAGACTGATATATTTGAAATATGAAAACACCCACATAGACTCTGCCGTGCAGGGCACTACGTAAGAGAAGTTGACAGGCACTGTTTTTGCCCTGTGGTGGCTTTAACTAAACAACAATAACATCTTTCTAGAATCCAGTCTCCATGAGAACAGGGACCATCTTGTTGACCACTCTGACACCTGGGCCTAGAACATGGACTTGGGCCTAGGAAGTGTGTGCTGATGAGTGAGCTGGGCACTCTGTGCATCATGAACAAATAGACACAGAGGATATGAGGATCAGCAGTAAGGACTGGCTGGGGGCCGTGGCTCATGCCTGGAATCCTAGCACTTTGGGAGGCCGAGGCAGGAGGAGTACTTGAGTTCAGGAGTTTGAGACCAGCCTTGGCAACATAGCGTGATCTCGTCTCTGCAAAAATAATTTAGAAATTAGCTGGTGTGGTGGTATGCACTGTAGTCCCTCCCACACGGGAGACCGAAGCAAAAGGATCACCTGAGCCCAGGAAGTCGAGGCTGAGGTGAGCCATGACTGTCACTGCACTCCAGCCTGGTTGACAGGGGGAGACCTTGCCTCAAAAAATAAAAAAAAAGGCTGAATTCTCCCAGATGAGTCTGGGTTTATATTCATTATTGACTTTATAGTAAGCAAATTTTCATCCATGCTCTTAATGAGGTACTTTTATAATTCAGTACACCTCTGAATCACCTGAGATTGTGTTAAAATAGAGGGTTCTGATTCGGTGATTGGATTAGCACCTGAGAGTCCACAGTTCCAACAAGCTCCCAGGTGGTAAAATAGTGCTGGTCTGGGGATAACATTGTGAGTCTGAAGACTTTAAGATAAATAAGGACAGGATTAATATGAATAATCTTGTGTATAGTATTTGAGAAACCTGAAATAAATTCCTTTGTGGGCTGTGTGTGGTTACTCGCACCTTTAATCACAGCACTTTGGGAGACTGAGGCAGGAGAATCATTTGAGTCCAGGAATTTGAAGCCAGCCTGAGCAATATAGTGAGACACTGTCTCTATAAAAAATTTAAACATTAGCCAGGTGTGTGAGCTGTAATCACACCGTTTCACTCTAGCCTGGGTGCCAGAGCGAGACCCTGTCTGGAAAAAAAAAAAAAAATTCCAATGTGGTACCATGCAGCTGTATGAATTAATGGAAACTGCTAGAAGTTCTGCTTATTTTAGGCATGAGCTGAACCTAGTCTTTCTGTAACCTGGCTGACGGTTTGTAAGCATTTTCCAGAACCTCGAGAATAGAGCTATTTCTAATTGACACCTAAATGGGCAGCCCGTATGTTTTGGAAGCCCTGGGGACAGGTGGGACACAGGGTACGGGCTTGACTTTGGAGCATAACCAACTGGTAGACATGCCAGAGGAACTGGTGGTCTCATCGTGCCCTTCCCATCACAGGCTCAGTCGGGGAGCATCCAGAACACAGTGATGCTAGACAAGCAGAAGGAGCTTGATGGCAAAGTCCGAAATGTCAAGGACAAAGTTATGGTGAGTGTCGAGTCAACACGTGTGTTTATGCCAAAATTCTTCTTCACAAGGGATAGAAGAGTTTAGTTGCTTTGAATGTAAACCTAGTAACTAGGCCGGGCGTTGGTGGCTCACACCTGTAATCCCAGCACTTTGGGAGGCTGGAGTGGGAGGATCTCTTGAGCCCAGGAATTCGAGACCAGGCTGGGCAACATAGTGAGATCTGTCTCTACAAAAAATAAAAAAAGCAGCCAGGTGTGGTGGTGTGTGCTTGTAGTCCCAGCTACTTGAGAGGCCAGGGCAGGAGGATTACTTGAGTCCAGGAGGTTGAGGCGGTGGTGAACCAGAGCCACTGCACTCTGGGCAAGAATGAGACCCCCAACTCAAAAATAAAAATAAAAACAAAACCTAGTGACTGAGATCAGTCTGTTAAGTAGCAGAGAAGAAGATTTTGTTGATGTTCCAAACCCTAAGTAAACATTTGGTACAACCAGTGACCAGAGACCTTTTTATGGTCCTATTGCAACTGCCAAACATTGAGCTTATCTCTTTTCTCCCTGTGAGATCATGTAGTCAATGTTGACTTTGCCTATGACCCAGTAAACTGGATGCTGCAGCTGTAAATAGGCCTGTGTTCACACCTCTCAACTGGTGTGACCTAGGGTAATCCAGAGCCCTAGGGTTAACAGGGCCTGTCTTCCTCAAGCATCTGATTTATTCTAATACTTGGAAGAGCAACAAAAAACATTTCTTTGAAAGATATACTGATACATTTTGATGTAAACAAGACATCCACAGAAGTTTTGAGGTAGAACTTCCATGCCAGTTGAAGGAAGCAGGGGCTGGCGTGTTTCACTTCCCCACTGTGAGGGCGGTTTGGGAAGAGATTGAGGAGTCCTGCTTCTCACAGGCCTGTGTGTGCGAAGATACCTTTCAGCCCAGGGGTGTGGGCCTCCGTGTGTCTCTGGGTGCCACCAGTGTGGCCTTGACTTATGTGCCTCTGACAGCATCCTTCCAAACTCCAGGTTCTTTGACAACTTATCCTGCAGTCTCCTAGGGAAATGCTTCCATAAAGTAGAAACCTCGTGGGCCCAGTTTATATACAGCCGTGGAAATCCAGAGAGCCATGTGTAGAAATGTAACCAAATCCCAAACAAGTGAGGCTTACTTATTAGAATGCATATAATAAATACATATTATTGTCCAGATTGCGATGCATTTGGGTGACTAAGAAGGCACTGTTGGTAATTCTACCAGGATGGCAGGTGTTAGGCCAGGACAGTCCCAGGAAGTAAGGGACATGTGCTCAGTCCTCTTACTTGCAAGGAATGAGGAGTTTTGCTGTGAGCTTGGCTTTTGCTTGCTGTGTACTGCAATGGAGTTGTGAAACCCCATCTCCAAGGTGGCCACAGAAATGGTGAGGAAAACTCAGAATTTAGACCCTGGAACCCAGCAATGACATGCAAATCAGCTTGAGCATTGGTGTATGTTTTCTTTTTTTTTAGTGTATTTACATGTTAATTAACTATTTCTAGTTTTTCTCTATGGAATCTTTCTAGCCAACATACTTAATAGTGAAATGTAACTTATTTCATATATGCAGTTAGAATTCTGCAAGCTAACCCACCTTTGAGGGAGCTGGCATTGTTTCCATTTTCCTCTGGGTTCTGTAGATGCAATACTCCGTTTCTAAAGTCTTTGGAAGCTGACGGTCAGTGGAAACCATGTGTATGTCTTTGCTTGTAGTGTATAGAGCATGAAATCAAGAGCCTAGAAGACTTACAAGATGAATACGACTTCAAATGCAAAACCTTGCAGAACAGAGGTAAGAGTTTGCCAGTAAAATGGTGCCCATTGGCTGTAATGTTTTCGGTCCCCACTAGATAATGAAGATGATTCCTCCTCTGTATTTACCAAGTATTTGATGACTCAGAATCATGAGTCTTGGCGACTGGTGACCCAGGCTGGGGTTTCAGTACTATTGACATTCCGGAGTAGATAATTCTTGGTTATGGTGGCAGCCCTGGCATTGTAGAATGTTTAACAGCATCCCTGGCTTCTATCCACCAGATGCCAGTAGCAGACACTACCCCATAACCCCCACCAGTGACAGTCAAAACTATCTCCAGACATTGCCAAGTGTCTCCTGGGGGTGACCCCTAATTGATAAGCGCTGGTCATGTGTTGGCACCTTGTTTTCGTGCCTAGCCCACCGATGGACATAGATGGCTAGATGCATGAAGCTCTCCTGCCCTGAAACCTAAAGTTTCTGCACATATTCCATGTCCACACACACACAGACACACACATACTACAGAGAAACTCAGCATTTGTCTCATGCTTTAACGCAGTATTACTCTATGTTGTCGTTGCTTGTTTTTAATGATAGCAACTGAAAATAACCCCAAAATGTGCATTGAATAGAACACAGAATGGTGCTATTACCCTGGTGATCATTTGGTAGATACTGTGGTTACTATGGAGAGAGTATCAGTAGGACTTGAGTAAAAAGCATGAGAGAAAAGAACCTCAACTGCTATTTCCTAATCATCTGCTTCTCTTTCAAAATGATAAATATGCCTTATACACATTTTTTATCTGAGGTTTTGAATGTTGTCGCTTATATTCGTTTAAGTATGTTCTAACTGTGACTTAAGTAGCAGACAGTCCTGCTTCCCACTTACTTGGGTCACTGAAAACAAGTACTTTGGGCTGGATGCAGTGACTCACGTCCATAATCGCAGTACTTTGGGAGGCAGAGGTGAGAGGATTGCCTGAGACCAGCCTAGGCAACATGGAAAGACCTCATCTCTACAGTTAAAAAAAAAAAAAAAAATTAGCCAGGCATGGTGGCATGCGCCTGTAGTTCAGGCAGAAGGATTGCCTGAGCCCAGCAGGTCGAGGCTGTGGTAGTCGTGAGTGTGCCACTGCACTTCAGCCTGGGTGACAGAGTGAGACACTGACTAAAAATAAAAAAATAAAACGTATTTTGTTTCACTGTGCCCAGTTGTTACACTTAGGTCATTTTTTTTCTTGTTTTGTTTGATAAAGATTGAGGAAGACCCCACTTTAGCCTACCACTAGAAATGTGTATCACATTTCTCCTAAATATGTGTGAATTTTGGTGTTACTTGGTTGTCTTCTTTATAGAAATATTTCTATCTGCCACCTCTTCCAAATCACAGAATTCGAAACCAATGGCGTGGCAAAGAACGAGCAGAAGCAGGAGCAACAGTTACTGCAGAAGATGTTTTTGATGCTTGACAACAAGAGGAAGGTACTGATTCGCTTTTCAGAACAGCGCACAGCTTTTGTCACAGACTTTGAATGATGGACTTGAAGTTCAGAGCAGAGAAAAAGGAATGATTATGACCTTTCAGTACAGAGCCCCAGTGGAGGATAGAAGGATAATTTGCTTTGCTTTCTAAAAATCTCCTAAAATGTAGCGATGCGAAATGAGTTGCCCTCACTTTGTTTTTTCCTCTCCTTCAGGAAGTGGTTCACAAGATCATAGACTTGCTGAATGTCACGGAGCTCACCCAGAATGCCCTGATCAATGAGGAACTGGTGGAGTGGAAGCAGCGGCAGCAGAGCGCCTGCATCGGGGGCCCGCCCAATGCGTGCCTGGATCAGCTGCAGAACTGGTGAGTCTCCAGGGGATGCTGGCAGCTGCTGGTCAACCCCAGAAACTCACAAGGAACCCCACGGAGCCACGTTAGGGTAGCGCAGCCTTGAACTCCTGGGCTCAAATGATCCTCTCGCCTCAGCTTCCCAAGTAGCTGGGAGTCGAGGCACATACCACCACACCTGGAGTACTTTTTAAAATATATTTTTTATTTTTACAGAGATGGGGTCTTGCTGTGTTGCCCAGGCTGATCTCAAACTCCTGACCTCAAGCAGTCCTCCAAAGTGCAGGGGCCACCTCACCCAGCCTGCCCTACTCTTTTTAGTCCAGCTCACCTTAAAAGTCACTTGAGGTCACAGATCACCTAGAAGCCCTGCCCCCACCCCGTCTCCTTATGTAGATCTCAGTGTGTGCGGAGGATTTTGATCTGGGCTGTCATCATTCAGTGCATGCGAGTTTTTTCTCTCCAAATAACTGAGCTCCTTGGCACCGGCAGAAGCCTTGTGCCGCATTTCTGCCTGCAGTGTAGAGTGTGGCAATAGAGGTGACGCCAGGTGTTGCCATGGCCGCTCGTGGGTGTCCGTGATTCTCTGTTATAGGCGATTCAGAGACAGTTTCTCACAGAGTGACCTGTGCCCTGTGCCTCCCCAGGTTCACCATTGTCGCTGAGAGTCTGCAGCAGGTTCGCCAGCAGCTGAAGAAGTTGGAGGAGCTGGAGCAGAAATACACCTATGAGCTTGACCCCATCACCAAGAACAAGCAGGTGCTGTGGGACCGCACCTTCAGCCTCTTCCAGCAGCTCATTCAGAGGTGACTTGGGGGCACTGGTGGGCACCTTCCTCAGCCGTTTCCTCCACAGCAGCATTTGACTGTTATCTTGGTCATCCAGAAGGGCTGACTGGGCTATCGACGCTTTTATGGCCATGGGCTCTTCCTGAGTTCCTTGTTTATGCTGGTGGCCCTTCCCTTCCGTGGCCTCAGGGCTGGAGGCTGTGGTCACTTGTGCTCTTCTTCCTTCCCCATGGCTGTCTGTGCTGAGACCTGACACCTCCTTGCCTTCCCATGCTGTAGCCTCGTCCCAGCTCAGCCTCTCAAATCCTCTTTCCTGAACTTCCCTGGCCTCCCAGCAGGTCCCCTGTCCCCCACCCGCTTCCTCCCCGGCCCTGTGACCAGTGCTGTCTGGTTTCTCATCACCTATTGATCCAGTTGGAGCCCTCAGCTGGGCGTTCGTGGCCCTGTCTACAGCCTGGACCTAGCTGGACACCCCATGCTTTGTGCCCAAACTTACATATTTCCAGGAAGTGTGGCTGCTTGCTATTTCCCAGGCCTATGTTTTACACTCCCTGTGTCTCCTGAGGATATGTCCTTCTACCTCAGAGCCGCCTTGCTTTCTTTCTTTTCTTTTCTTTTTTTCTCACTCTGTTGCCCAGGCTGGAGTGCGGTGGTGCAGTCATGGCTCACTGCAGCCTCTAGCTCCCAGGCTCAAGCCTCCTGAGTAGCTGGGACTTCAGGTACCTGCCACCACGTCCGTTAATTTTTAAAAATTTTTTTGTAGACACAGTGTCTCACTATGTTGCTCAGGCTGGTATTGAGCTTCTGGGCTCCAGTGATCCTCTCTCCTTGGCCTCCCAAAGTGCTAGGATTATAGGCATGATCCACGGTGCCAGGCTTGAGCTTTCTTCTGCCTACTTTCAAAATGGTATCATCATGAAAGTTTCAGCTTGTGTCTCATCACAAGACCATGCAGAGTGCCCAAACAAATGCTGTCTCCCTTCCAGGCTTACATAGTTCCTTCTCTGGTCCTCACCTACTCCAACTTTTATGACATAGTTGCTTATATATTCTGTTATTTTTGTTGAAAATTGTAGGCTTCTGGAAGACAGAGACATGCCTCTGTCACCCTTTTCCCCCGGTGGGGCCTAGCACACTGCCTTGTAAACAGTAGGTACTCCACATGCTTAGTAAATAGATAAATGTCCTTGAATGGAAGAGTAGGGTTCACATTGCAAGACTTTTTTGTTTGTTTGCCTTATGCAAACTTGACATAGCAAAAATGTACTTGTTTCCCTGTGACTGATGTCCAGACAAGAATGCCTCTGTGCTAGATTTTGAAAAAATGAAGGATACTTATTTGGCTTGTTGGAGTGCGAGTTTGGTTCTTAACACTGATTTGTAAATGAGCATAATCAAATTGAGGATTTTCCTTGTTGGATAGTTTCAGAGATCATTATGATTACTGTTTTTGTTAAGTGTAGATTAGATTTTGGAATTTCTTTACTGACTAGATAACATCACTTTGTCCCTCCAACTTGTCCGAAGCTCTCAGGTTCTTTTCTAGGATGTGCTCTCTAACTCCCTTCCATCTTCAGGGAAAATCACTATTTCATGGAAGTGCTAAATTCACGTGTGCTTTTCCGGGTGTGTGCAGCTCCTTTGTGGTGGAGAGACAGCCTTGCATGCCGACGCACCCGCAGAGGCCACTGGTCTTGAAGACAGGAGTACAGTTCACTGTGAAGCTGAGGTGAGAAGGAAGAGATATGACCCCACATGCTTCCTGTGCACCCCTAAGTTCCTCTTACAGAGCTGTTCCACAAGCATATGTGTGCACTCAGCAGTGCGGAAGTATACTAGTGCAGGGATCCCTAACCCCCGGGCCGTGGACTGGTACCCGTCTGTGGCCTGTTAGGAACCAGGCTGCACAGCAGGAGGTGAGTGACATGCGAGTGGAGTTCCACCTCTTGTCAGCTCAGAGGCAGCACTAGATTCTCATGGGAGCACAAACCCCATTGTAAACTGTGCATGCAAGGGACCTAGTGCTCCTTTTGAGAATCTAATGCCTGATGATCTCCTCCCTGCTCCCAGTCCATGGAACAATTGTCTTCCCCCACAACTTTAAAATAAAATTTAAAAGAAGAAAAATTTTCTTCCACGAAAGCAGTCTCTGATGCCAAAAAGATTGGGGACCACTGCACTAGACAGTGTTCGGTGAATTCTAGTAGACTTCAATTAGCATAATTTTGTGTTGTGCAATTAAGTTACAAGTATGTCTCTAATTTTGGATAATTATCATTGGTTAACAATAGAGTGACAAAAACTGAAATATATATATGTAAATATACACACACTCACACATATATATCTATATCTGTCTATCTAAATATGTATGGCTTTAGAGGAAATAATTTTTCAGAAGGCATTTAATATGAATTTTTTTTATTTTAAAATTGTGGGGTACAATTTAGGGTTAGGTATACAAATATGCATCGTTCAGGCACCCTTGTTGATAAGGGGTGTCCCTCCATCCCCAGACAGATATTGACTACTGTTAATCCCACAACCCTTGCTCTCCCTGTCCCCTCCCATAGTTTCCCACCACTGTCGATCCTTTTCTTATAGTATTACGATAGATGTTCAAGGTCCACTTATGAGTGAGAACATGTGATACTCAGATCTTTGTTTCTGTGAGAGATCACTCAGTATTATAAACTCTAGTTCCATGCAGGTTACTGCGAAGTTCATGATTTTGTTCTTTTTTATGGCTGCATAGTATTCCATCATGTATATGTACCACATTTTTTAAATTCAGTCCTCTCGATCGACAGCATGGTTGGTTCCAAGTTCTTGCTATTGTAATATGAATTCTTACTTAGAACACCCAAGAGTCTGTCTTTTGTATTCTAAAGGGAAACATAACCTGTGTATGTACACACACACACACAGACACACACGTGATTTTTTTCTAATTGTAAATGTCAAGTGTCACAGGAAATAGGAAGTCCAAACCGCAGCAGTGTAGGTAGCAGAGAGGAAACATTCCTGCAGCATCACTCTCGTGAGCATAAGTGTGTGACCTTAGCATCCTGAACCCCAAGCTCTGTATGTATAGATTTATAACATACATGCATGTTTTCCTGGTGAGTCAGTGCATAGCTTTCTGCAGATTTTCAAAGCGGTCTGTGATCTAAATATCTGTGAACCACCACAGCACACAGCCTCGTGTTTGTCCTCCCAGAGTGTTGTCCATGTCTGTACAAACATATAAAAACGTGTGTGTGTGTATATATTTCATACATGGACACACACAAATATGATATTCCATATTTAAAAAACTAGTATTCTGCTCTATGGATTGTTCTGTAGCCTGTTTTCCTCCTGGTAATAACTGTAGAAATGTTTCTGAGAACACATAGCTTTCCTTTCTCTGGCTGAGTGGCTGCATTCTTTCAACCTTTCTCTCATGATAGGCAACTAGATTCTAGGCTGGGTTGGGCTAAGCTTCAGAACAGGCCCTGGTTCTTTTTATGGGCTGCGGCTGATGTCAGTCTGCAAGTACCTTCACTGGCTGGTGGTGTTACAGGCCACACTCAAGCCTTCATGGAATTCTGGTGCTCGCAGCTGGTAGGGATTGTACAACTCTGGTTCCATCTGCCAGCTCCACCAAATGGAGCAGGGTGAGACTGAGACCTCCATCACCCCAGGCCCAGGTGCCATTGCCTCTTGCCTGGGTTTCTATCAGCTAATTCACCGGTCTTCTGCATCTGTTTTAATTATTCCCACTAGAGGCAAAAGGAACTTTATAAAAATCTAAGAGTCTGATTCCTTCTCTGACCTGAGTAAACCCTTCTTTAATTATAAGTACCCTTTATTTCTCCTTTGTAGTGCTTAGAATTAAATGATTAGGTGTATGTAATTATGTATCCCCCAAAACCCATTCTTGTCACTCATTCCACCTGTCAACATTATCAGAAATTTCAACTTTTTTTTTGGTTAAAATCTTGTCCCTAGAATGTGCTTGTTACTATTCACAGGTGATCACAGCAGAAGACTATAAGATGGACCAGTGGTTCCCTAGCAGAGGGCAGTGTCCAAAACAAAAAGATAGAAGCTCAATATCTCAATATGTTGTTATGGACAAGAAACACTGGAAACTATGGGACACTACTAGGTAGGGCAGTCTTAAAAAGAAGCCTTGGTCAGGAGGAGGAGGGGCAGATCAAGAGGAGAACAAGAAACTTCAAAGATAACATTTACGTGCCTTGCTATTCAACTCCCTTACTGACAATGCTTCCCAAACCAGAAGCATTCAAATCATATGAGGTTCCTGTTAGAAGTGTAACTTACAATTTAGTAGATCTGGGAAGGAGTTTGAGATTTTGCCCTCCTTGTAAGTTTCCAGGTCTTGTTGTTGCCACTGGCACACAGACGACACAATGTTAAGTGCCAAGAACCACACTTTTAAGTTCCCAGAGCCTCTCTGCCAAGGGGGCAGAGACATGCCATCTCCTACTCTACTTCCCTCCTCACTACCCTGTGTGGTTATAGATGTAACCCTCATTTTTCTGATTCTGGATGGATAGTTTTATTTTCTCTCAACAAAACAAATATTAGATTAAAAAATTTAGTAAAGAGTAATCATTGTATTTTTTTCACCCATACTAATTGGCCCAAAGTAGAAATTTTGGTAAAACCCAATGTTGGTGACGTTGTGTAGGGACTCTGTTTCCCTCACTGATTTTTGGGGGGAATGTCAAGTCAGTTCATAGCCTGTCAGAGCTGAAAGTGACAACTTTGCCTCAGCAATTCCACAGCTAAGAATTTATTCCACAAATACACTTTTAAAAACTCTAAGTAGACATACAAGAGTATCTGTCAGTTTTTTTCTTTCTTTCTTTTTTTTTTTGAATTGGAGTCTCACTCTGTTGCCCAGGCTGGAGTGCAGTGGCATGTTCACAGCCACTGCAGCCTTGACCTGCTGGGTTCAGGCAATCTTTCTGCCTCAGCCTTTCAAGTAGCTGGAACTACAGGCATGTGCTACCACGCCCAGCTTATTTTTTGATTTGGTGTAGAGATCAAGTTTCACCAAGTTGCCCAGACTGGTCTCGACTCCTGAGTTCAGGCAGTCATCTCACCTTGGCCTCCCAAAGTGCTGGGATTACAGACTTGAGCCACCGTGCCTGGTCAAGTGTCAGTTTCTTATCTGTAATAACCAAAAACTAGAGAATGAGTTGTTTACCTAAGTGTTCGTAGACTGGGAATTGGCATAATACGTACATTGTAAGAGGTCATTTTTTAAAGTAATGACTTTTTTCTTTCCAGATTGTTGGTGAAATTGCAAGAGCTGAATTACAACCTGAAAGTCAAAGTCTTATTTGATAAGTAAGATATCTTTGATATTGTCTAAGATACATGAACTATGGAAATGCTGCTTTTGTTCCCTAAACATGGCTTCCTCCAGTAAACGAGCCTATCCACCAGTGTGGTTCAAGGGTCTGCAGTTGAGGAAGTTTGCCTCCCTGGGGACCAGGCTGAGCCAAGGGTGCTGTTACTGCTACAGGGGGTGGGGCATGGGGAGAAGTGGGCGCTCCTGGTCAGATCCCCAGGAGCTGTCCCAGGTGACCCCCACAGATCTAAACTGATAGCTCCCTTTCTGGACGTTGGACCTCCCCCAGAGCTGGGTCAATGTACTGTGCCTTTTTAGGCCATTGATGAACAAAAGAGAACACGTTTTGTGCACACAAGCATATCACCAGCAGGCCCTGAAACGGCTGGATTGGCACACCACCTCTCATCCTGGGCCAACCACAAGACTGAGCATCCAGGCTGCCATGATTCTGTGGACTTGGCGGGGGGGTCGTTTCTGGAGCGAGGTCAGCAGCATCTTAGGGAGCCTGGTGCAGCCTGCTGGATTCACCCTTGTCTCTTCTGGGCAGTGGGGACCAGGCGTAAGCAGCATCTCTCGTGGGGGTTCACACGAAACAGCCCCCTCCTGTTTTGCCCTTAGACACTAGACCTAGACTAGCACTGACCTGCCTTATTTGATGAGTAAAATATAGTTGATATTAAGAAGCGAGATGACCTCCCACCCTGGATATAGTTCATACTTTTGTTGGCTTGTGTCACATACTGGTATAGCCAGTTTCAAAACTGATTTCTGATCATTCAAGTCATTTTCCTCGGACTCTTTGTTTCTTCCACTCCTGTAAGAATGTTCATCCTTGTAGCATAGCCTGTGACTGTGTTTGTCTCCTTGCCATCATCTTTGGCTTCTCTCTGCATAACAAACCACCCTGAAAACTTAGTGGTGCATACACAAAAGCATTATTTCTCATATTCTGTGGGTTGTAGGTGCTTCTTCTGGTCCAGGCTAGCCTGATTGGAGCCAGGTGATCTAGTAAGGCCTCATTATATGTCTGGGGTCTCAGTTGGGACAACTGGATCTACCTTCATGGGTCCTCAAGAGGACAGGCTGGACTTTCCACCCAGTGGCAGTGTTCCAAGCAAACAGGGCTCTGAAAGCTAGCCTGAGAATCTGGATAGCATTACTCCCATCCATCCTGTTGGTAAAAGCAAGTCAAGGCCAGCAGAGATTCAGAGGACAGAGAAACACATTCTAGTTCTTGGAAGAAGGAACCACAGGGACCTTGTGGCCATCACAGCCTGCCACCCTCTGCTTTAGCTTCATCCCTCTGCAGCTGGTTCAGGTGCCATTGTCATTTCTGCCCCCTTAGCTCTGACTTGTCTTCTTGGCTGTGACAAGTCAGCTTTGCACCACACTGTACCTTTTATTTTTTGATTTTGATTTTGATTTCTTTTGAGTCAGGGTCTCACTCTGTCACCCAGGCAGGAGCACAGTGGCACAATCACGGCTCCCTGCAGCCTTGACCTCTTAGGCTCAGACAATCCTCCTGCCTCAGCCTCTCAAGTAGCTGGGACTACAAGCACACTAAGTTTTTTGTTTTATTGTAGAGATGAGGTCTCGCCATCTTGCCCAGGCTGGTCTTGAACTCCTGTACTCAAGCAATCTTCCTTTCTCCCAAAGTGCTGGGATGACAGACATGAGTCACTGTGTCGGGCCTTCCTTTTATTTTTAATTCTTTTTTTCCCCCCAAATGGGAGAAATAGATCTTTCACATAGTTAATGTTGATTACCATTCACAAGGACTCTGGCCTTCGAGATAGCGGGGAGCTGACTCACCTAGTCGAGCGAGCTCACAGTTTCTCATCCACTCCTGCTCCAGGCGCAGATGCGTTGTTTGGCCAGAATGTGACAGAGCAGTCCCTGGCTTTGTGTAAGGTGTGAGGTCTTCCAAGACTTCAACCTCAGACTGAAAGCCTAAACTTGCTGTTCTCCCTCCCCAGAGGACTGACACTTCTGGCACTTTCACAAGAGCATTAAAGAGAATGGAGAATAAAAAATCAGGGCTAGGTGGTCACACTGGCCTCCCATGGGCTGTGTGGCAGCTGGGCAGGTGGCATCCCTAGGGCCTGGCACGGGGCCTTGCACAAAGTAAGTAGTTGCTTAGTAAACAGCAATGATGGTAGCTTATGTGTATTAAGGGGTACTGGTGCTTTTTACCCATCGACTAATTACCTGGTGCTGTTGGCAAGTTGTACAGGAGCGGTGTGGAGGCCCAGGCTGCTTGCTGGCCGAGGTCACTGAGTAAAACTTGGCAGAGCTCATTTGGGTGGCTTGAGGAAGGGAGAGAGTGGAAGAGCAGCAAACCCACAGGAGTCAACTTATTTCATTTTACTTTATTTTTGAGCCACTGTGCCTGGCCTAGATTTATTTATTTATTTATTTATCTTTTACTTACACATGTACTTCTATATTTTAAGGCTAGCTTCAAACTTTAAGTTCACAGAGATGATTATGTGTATCTATTTCTTCTTTTGCAGAGATGTGAATGAGAGAAATACAGTGAAAGGGTAGGTGACATCCTTTGCACTACGTTCTGCTCGCCTTTTTGTTCATGTGTTGCATAGACCAAAGCCTGTTGAACATTTCCGCCCTGTGTTTTTAGGTTTCGAAAGTTTAACATTCTGGGCACGCACACAAAGGTGATGAACATGGAGGAATCTACCAACGGAAGTCTGGCGGCTGAATTTCGCCACCTGGTAGGGACACCAGCTTTCCACTCTCTATGCCCTTTCTGGTTTGTCAGGAATCTTGACAGTAGAGTGGCCTTTTGTGGTATTTGGTGATGTGGTGGTGCCTCCAGACTTTCTTTGTTTTGTGGCTGATGGCTTCTTGTTACCGGCACCTGGGCATCTTGGTTCCTCCTCCACATCCCAGAACCATTCCATTTTCTGCCAGCCTCTCTCCCAGAAGCACCTTTTGGGCTGCTTCAGTCTCAGAAAAAATATTTCCTGAACCTGTGTGCACTAGGCCAGCTTCCAGGACTGCCTGAATGGTCCTGGTGGCCCTCACAGGAGGCGCACATGGTTTCTCAGAGCTTGCATGCCCTGCCCATGCCTTCTCCCGTCCCCCAGTGTGGCCGTGGCCCCCGGATTTCCTCCTTGGCCCCTCTGCATGCTCCTTCCCGGTGGTCTTCCCCCCATCCCTACCCCACAGCAGCCTGGCCCTACCGCCTTGTCTCCAGGGATATGGAGTCTCTGCCACTGGGCAGGGTGTTCTAAGTGGGCAGCACCTTCTTTCTTCCTCTGTGAACATGGGGCGGCCAGAGGCCCCGAGGTTCCATGGGTGTCAAGCCCAGAGCTCTCCCTGGCCCAGATCCTGCAGGAGGTTAGAGGCACACATTTTTCTTGTGACCATTTCATGAGCCAACAAACTGATGTACCCTGTTCAGGAGCTTCCGCCCAGCGGGAGTTGAGGATGTCAGGGCTGCCCTCAGGCCCCAGGTGGCCACCTTGGAACTTCAGGGATTGAAGTACCCCAGGACAAGTGAGCCTGGAGTTGCCGGGCCAAGCCTGCAAGACTCCCTGAGGGAAGGATGAGGGAGGGGGCGCTGTCCCCTGGGGCTGAAACAGCTTATGAAGGTGCATAGGAGTCTGTCAGGGGAAGTTGGCCACAGGATGGGAGTGGGGTACAGTTCCCAGGACCCCTGCAGACCCCATGGTGTCCATATCCTGTAGGCCACCAAGGAGAGGAGCTTCTGCTCATAGACCCAGGCAGGGGCCCTCTCATCTCGTTCTGCGTCCTAAAGATAATGTCAGCCTGTCGTCCCCTGGGCCCAGCTGCTATAGCCCATGGGAGGCCATGGGTCTCATTTGTAAATAAAGACCGCAACATTGACAGTAAACATGACTTTTTCACTAAGATGCTTTTTTTTGTTGTTTTACAGCAACTGAAAGAGCAGAAGAATGCCGGCACCAGAACTAACGAGGTGAGTGTGTCTGCGTGGTGGGTGGGCCCTTACCCTGGAGCTATGTCTGTAGAGCAGGGCAGTGACCTTAGTGGCTGGGAATACCACGCAGAGGGGTCAGACCCACAGGGTAGGGCACCAAAGGACTTGGCCCTCAGGTTATCTGTGATAACAGTAAAAGCACTGCATTTGCACCTATGGCAAATGATTTTGCAGACAGGCTTATGGACAGTGCGGGGGTTGGCTGTGCTGGGCTTTGTCCCCTGTACATCTGACAGGGAAAGAGGCAAAGTTCCAGGAAGTTCACAGGACTTCGCTAAGGGAGCTCAGAGAGTTACTGTCAGAACTGGATTGAGAGGCTATGTTCTGCCTGAACTGTGTATTGGGGGCCACTTCTGCCCTGACACCTGCCAGAAGCATCCTCTATTAGTTTCCTTCTTCAGTGTGGGAGTTATGTTTGTGATGTGTTCACAAGGAAGTTGTGGGTAGAGGATGGAATTTCTTTGGTTCTGAACATTTTGTCCTGTGCGTACACCGCACACAGTCCTGTACCAGCAGGGGCACGGGAACAGGGACAAACTATGGCCTGGGCTGTGCAAAGATGCCTCCTCACCCTGCTTTGCATCTGGAAAATCTTTGTGACTCCTCAGGTCCAGCAGCTGTATCTCCCTAATTCTTTTCTTTCTAGAGACAGCTGTCACCCACCCACACTGTCACCCACCTGGAGTGTGGTGACGCAATCACAGCTCACTGCAGCCTCAGCCTCCTGGGCTCAAGTGATCCTCCCACCTCTGCCTCCTGAGTAGCTGGGAGTACAGGTGTGCACCACCATGCCTGGCTAATTTTTAAGGTTTTTAGAGACAGGGTCTTGCTGTGTTGCCCAGGCTGGTCTTGAACTCCTGGACTCAAGCAATCGTCCTGCCTTAGACTTTCAAAGTGCTGGGATTACAGGCATGAGCCACTGCGCCTGGCCCACCTCCCTAATTCTAAGTTGTTGTGACACTCACATAAGATGGTGTGTCTGAAGACACTTGTCAACCATACATTTCTGTTCAAACCAAGGCACTTTATTACCCAACAAGTTTATGTAAACCAGCCCTTCCAGTAGCTAATCACACCTGAGACACTTGTACTTTACACTACTCTGTCTATGGGAGGTGTGCAGCTGCACCAGGTGGGCCATGGATAGGCAGAAGGACCTGAGGGTTGGAAAGCCTTAGGTCATGAATAAAGCCCTTGGAAGCTGCTGTTTCTCCATTGTCAAAGCCACTAGAAATCGATGCTGTTTTCCTGTTGCTGTTTCTTTGAATGTATAACCTTTGCATAACTTCAGACCTCTTATCTCTGGGGGTACACGAGAAACTTGCCATGATTAGATCTGAGATAGAAGATTGAATATTAGTGAATAAATTGTCTTTTTTCCCCCCACTTTTCTCTTTTTAGGGTCCTCTCATTGTCACTGAAGAGCTCCACTCCCTGAGTTTTGAAACCCAGTTATGCCAGCCTGGTTTGGTAATTGACCTCGAGGTGAGACTTCTGTGTTCCTAAGGTGAAAGACCTTATTTACTTTTATTTTTAGCTTCTACATGTATTTTTATTCCCCAGTTTTTTTTAGAGGTATTTACCTAGTTGTTTTAAAAAGATGCTTTTGTCTTTGTTTTTTTAAGCTTACTATCTTACCTTAGTTTATGATCCAGAAAGCTAGAGAATCAAATTAACCTTCACTTTTTTTTAACTGTCAGAGTCTTCAAATTCTGTAAGCTAATTATTGCAGCTGAGATAGCTGATGTTAATTTTTTTATATTAAGCATTGGAACTTTTTTATTTTACATTTTATGTTTTCAATTTTGTGATCTACATTTTTTATGTTGTTTATCCCTTAATAAGTTATTATAGCTATTATTATTTTTAGGGGCTTATTTCTTAATTGAAAGATATGTCAAAGACATTAAACCATGGACAGAAGAACAGAACTTAACATTTCTCACTTTCATGTATAAGCTACAGGGAGATTTCCAAATAACCCCTGCTTATATTTGAGGCTGAGCAGTTGTCTGAAGGTGATATTTCTGCAAGTCGGGTGACTTCGAGGTCTTTGTCATCTTTCAGACGACCTCTCTGCCTATCGTGGTGATCTCCAACGTGAGCCAGCTCCCCAGTGGCTGGGCCTCCATCCTGTGGTACAACATGCTGGTGGCGGAACCCCGGGTATGGAAAATGCCCTTGCTTGCGTCCCAGGGGCTAGCCAGAAGCCCCAAGCATAGTAGCCCTAGTGACCAGATGTTGAGGAAGACATGGCAGAACTCTTGTGGGGTTGCTGAGGACCTTGAGTAGTTCTGGAAAGTGAAGCATGTGGGTGTGTGTTTAAAATGGGAATTCTATTTTCCTCTCATGTGAACAAGTTCAGGGAGTTGCTGGCTTCATGTAACTTGTATTATGGATGAGGCCCTTTATTGTCCTTCTTTTTAAAAAATGGGTACATCTACTAAACAGGCATGTTTCCCTCATAGAGCGTGAATACTAACCATGGGTGAGCTGCAATTGATTCTCCTTATTCGAAGTACTTCTGTTCTTTAAAGGGACCTGGAACACTTAATTAGCACATACAGAATCACTGCTCCTAGAGGAAGTACGTGGTTAGATTCCTTCAAGCCTCTGGTCACAACGTTTTTGTCTACCCATCAATATATAACCTTGTTGTGTGCGTTTCTGTTGAAAGACACCTTATCTAATTAATATTGCACTTACAGCCAGTAGCACTGTCGCTCAGGCCTGAGTGAAACTTCTCCCACACATGTCTTTTTTTCCATAAGACATCATATCCCAGACTTTGGGTGCTTAGGAACAGTCGACAGCATGGCAGTACCTTACTTGGGTGCATTTTAAACAACGAAATCACCAAAACAGTCACACAAATGCAAAAAACATGGCACTGAGAAGACTTCAAGGCTGGGTGCAGTGGCTCACACCTGTAATCCCAGTACTTTGGGAGGCCAAGACAGGAGGATCACTTGAGACCAGGAATTTGTGACCAGCCTGGGCAACATAGCAAGACCCAGTCTCTATAATAAAAATACATATTTTTTAAAAGTCTTCAAAAAGAATACTTGTTTTCAGTATGAGAGCTAAATCAAGAGGCCAGAGTGGCATTTCATTTGGTCTCAGTTGGGAACCTAAGTGTTGAATGACTCAAATTCTTTGCCACTGTGTGCATATGTATGTATTCAAATGACTGCAATGGTGCCAAGAGTGTTGATTTTGGAGTTACAAGTAAATTTTAGTGAGTAGTTGAATTTACCAATGGAAATCTATAGATGATGAGAATTGAGTGTTTCTCCTCCTCTGCTGTGGAAACATCAGCGTATCAAATAAACTAGAGCAGAACTTTAGGAAGGACCCAGGTTTTTGTGCCTTGCTTGTGACTGGGGCTTTTCAGTAATCCTCGACTGTTGGGTGTTTTCTCTCTAGAATCTGTCCTTCTTCCTGAATCCACCATGTGCACGATGGTCTCAACTCTCAGAGGTGCTGAGTTGGCAGTTTTCTTCTGTCACCAAAAGAGGTCTCAACGTCGACCAGCTGAACATGTTGGGAGAGAAGCTTCTTGGTATGAGCATATTAACTTTTTATGCATATAAAAATTAAAATTCAGGGCCAGTCATGGTGGCTCATGCCTGTAATCCCAGTGCTTTGGGAGGAATAGGTGGGAGGATCACTTGAGCGTGGGAGTTCAAGACCAAGCTGGGCAACACAGTGAGAACCTGTCCCTAAAAAAGTAGAAAGTAAGAAATTTGTCGAGCATGGTGGTTTGTGCCTATAGTCCTAGCTATTTGGGAGGCTGAGGCAAGAGGATCACTTGAGGCTAGGAGTTCAAAACCAGCCTGACCAACATAGCTTGACCCTGCCTCTTAAAAATAATTGAAATTCGTAAAACTGTCTCTACTTCCTCTTTTCCTCCTCTTTGCAGTCTATTTTGTTGAAGGTAGAAGAGTGTTGGCTTTGCAAGCCGCGGATTATTATAGCTAAGAGAACCATATATTACCTTGGAAAGAAATACAAACCTGATTTTTTTAATACATATATATATATATAGATTTTTTTTTTTTTTTTTTGAGTTGAAGTCTCACTCTGTCACCCAGGCTGGAGTGCAGTGATACAGTCATAATTCACCACAGCCTTGACATCCTAGGCTCAACTGATTCTTCTATCTCAGCCTCCTGAGTAGCTGGGACTACAGGTGTGTGCCACCATGCCCAGCTAATCTTTTTATTTTCTGTAGAGATGAGGTCTTGCTATGTTGTCCAAGTTGGTCTTAAATTCCTGGTCTCAAGTGGTCCGCTTGCCTCAGCCTCTCTAAGTGTTGATTACAGGCATAACCACTGTGCCCGACCTGATAAAAGATTTAAACGAATCCTTTTCTTGTTGCCTCCTATTGCCATTTCTGAGAAAGTTTTTTTAATTATGTAAAATATAAAATGAGAAAGAAATTTAAGAGAAAATATAAGATAAGAATGGTGTCGTCTTATGAACCTTGGGGAGAAAACATCCCAAGAATGAGGTCCTAGGCCTGCCCCCCCCACAGCATAAACCCAAGGCTTATGCCTCAGGCGACCTGGTGGTAGGAGACATAGTCCACACGAGAGGATGCACCTTTTCATCTGCAGTTTTGCCTGATGGGCAAAGTCTAGACCATGGTAGATAATCCCCTCTCAGGGGATGTATTTCTCTCCTACACGAAACAAATCCAAGATCCACTAGTCTCCAGGTCAGATCCTTCAACAAGCGGCAGTATGTGAACTATTTCTTTAAAAGTCCATGGATTTGCTACATGAGTAAATTGTGTGCAGATGAGGATTGGCCTTCTAGTGAGCCAGCCCTCAAACCACCCCGCACTTCTAGGGGGAAGAATCTCAGTATTTTCATCAAGGAAAGGGTCCTAGGAAGAAAAAAAATCCACGAACATCTTTGATCCAAGTTTGCTATCTGCAGCAGAACTGCATATCTGCAAACACCCAGAGGCTCCCCCCAACCCAGTGGCTCTCAGCAGGGCTGCTACTTGGCTGTGCCGCTGTTGCAGTGGGGATCTTGTGCTGCTGAATAAAAAATACAAAATTACCGGCACTGTGGCTCACACCTGCAATCCCAGCACTTTGGGAGGTGGAGGCAAGAGAATTGCCTGAGCCTAGGTGTTTGAGACTAGCCTGGACAACTTGGCGAGACCTCGTCTCTACAATAAGTTTAAAAAATTAGCCTAGTGTGGTGGCTCGTGCTTGTAATTCCAGCTACTTGGAAGGCTGAGGCAGAAGGATCACCTGAGCCCAGCAGGTCAAGGCTGCGGTGACCGTGAGTGTGCCACTGCACTCCAACCTGGGCAACAGAGTGAGAATCCGACTAAAAAAATTTTTTTAAGTATAAGATCACCACATCCCACATCCTCTTGGGACAAGAGTTAAGGAGGAGACCTTCCCGGCCTACAATGGTTCTCTTGTGGTTCTTATTGAAGAGAGATGATGGACTTGTGATTACCTCTTGCAGCCCAGAAGGCTGTAATTTATGTACCTAGTAATGCCTGGGCTCTTCCTGTTACTTCTCCCCCTGGGCTTTTGGGGTGCCTCAGCCTCGGAGTCCACGTCCTGTCTGGAAGGGCCTGAGGGAAGTGAATTGCTCCTGTTTAAAATAAACTTGTAAAGTCAGGCATCAGGTGAGTGGCTCTCTAGGGGTGATCTTGGGCTTAGGTTGAACTTTGGACCATTTTCTATAGGGTCCTTGGGAGAGGGGCTTTCCTGAGCAGGAGAGGGAGGCAATGGAGAGTAATGTTGGATGCGGAGAATTTTAGGTTACACAGGCAGAGTTGCGGGACAGGGGTATGAGAGGGATGTCCTCTCCTTGGAGGAGAGGGTAGGGGGATGGTGGGGCTTTGTGCCATTTCCACTTTCCCTAAAACACCCATGTCATGGGTCTGGTCAACTGCCATCCATTCCTTCCTTCATTAAAATCAAACTGACACAATTTTTTTTTTTTTTTTTTTTTTTGAGTCTGGGTCTTGCTCTGTTGTCCAGGCTAGAGTGCAGTGGCACAATCATGGCTCACCACAACTTTGACCTCCTGGGCTCAGATGATCCTCCTGCCTCAGCCTCCCTAATGGCTGAGACTACAGGTGTGCACCACCATGCCTGGCAAATTTTTTGCGGAGATGAGGTCTTGTTATGTTGCTCAGACTGGTTTCGCACTCCTGGACTCAAGCAATTCCCCTGCCTCAGCCTCCCAAAGTGATGGGATTACAGGTGTGAGTCACCATGCCCAACCTGACTCTCACATTTAGACTTTTCATTCTGTCCTTTTACACACATAGAATAATTGTTCCATTACTTTAACATGAGGGTATCTGAAAGTATCAGCTATGTGCCTATGACCTTCCTTTGGTGAATGTTAGCCCTTTTTCTTAAGAGCAAATACAAATGTCAAAGCTTCAGTGTTGAGTCTATTTGCCAGAAACCATTGTTTTCCCTTGTTCAGGTCCTAACGCCGGCCCCGAGGGTCTCATCCCGTGGACGAGGTTCTGTAAGGTGGGTGCTGCCTGGGTCTCACCCTCTCTGCATCCTCCTCTCTTTTCTCTCGCTATAGTTACTTCCCCGTTTGCTTGTCTTGGCTTGTTCCTCCCTGACCAGGCTAACTCTTGGGCAAGTTGTTTGCTTTTCCTCAGGCAGGAGGTTGGTCTCCAGGCAGAGTATGCCAGGAAGCACCTGCCTGGGTGATAACATTCTTTCCCATCTGAGTGAGCATTCTGCTGACTTGCACCGGTCCTTCCTGGCAGCCTTGTGGCCTGATTTGTGTGAAATGTGCACTTTGGGCCGGGCAGCACGGCCTGGCCACTGGGCAAGTCCCACAGAGCCTGCTCCAGCACGGGGACCTGTTGGAGGGAGCATTGTGACCCTGCTGGGGTCACCAGTCAGTCAGTTGGCCCTCCCGGGTCTTGCTAGTGCAAGGGCCTTAAAGTCTCCATGACTCACCCTGGAGCCCATCTTCTGGCTGGTTCGCTGCTGTTTGGAGCCAGCCCAGCTGGGAAATGGACCACTCCATCCCAATGCGATCAGAAGGGAGGAAACCACGACAGTTCCACATGGGGGTGGCGGGGACAGGGATGCTGCTGCTCTGGACAGGAGAGCTCTGTCTTTGGCAGCTGGGGAGTCTTTACAGGTTAAGATCGGGTGGTGGGAGGGGATTTTTAAGTCTCCATGTTAGATCTGTTTGTTCCTAATGTATGTATTTGTACACGTTCAGGAAAACATCAATGATAAAAACTTTCCCTTCTGGCTTTGGATTGAAAGCATCCTAGAGCTCATTAAGAAGCACCTGCTCTCCCTCTGGAATGATGGGTAAGGGTCACTGGTGGAAGTGTTTTTGAAACATGTTTTTAGCACACACTTGCTTGTTGCAAGGCCTGAGCCTGGCTTCATTATTGGACAGGATGTGTGTAACTGTCACAGAAGTGCGTGTTGACAGGCCCTCTCTTCAGGGCGTCAGGGGAGTGGGACCTCATGAGATTAAACTTATACTTTTTTAGTATAAGTATGTGTATTTGCAAAACTGAATTAAGAAAAAACTCTCTGAGTGCCATTCCTTCATTCAACACAAAATTCTTTAGCACCTGTTACATTGTCCCTGGAAGAAAAAAAAAAAAGGCCCTGAGCTCACTAAATTCGTTCTATCTGACTTATTCTCAGGATCTGCTGAGATTTCAACAAAAGCTTTAATTGGATCAGAAGTGCTAGAAAATGAAAACAGATTGTCTGAATCTTTCTCTCCAGTACAGAAGATGTGTAAATTCAGACACTGTCATGGCCTTTAAAATAATCAAGCGTCCTACTGACACTAGGTCCATGTATTTGTTTTCAACTTTAGAATAGACATGTATAAGTGAAATGCTTCCTAAGTGTCAGTTAAATAGATTTTCAAATAGCCTACCGTTGGGTACGGTGGCTCATGCCTGTAATCCCTGCACTTTGGGAGGCCAAGATGGGAAGATCGTTTGAGGCCAGGAGTTTAAGACCAGCCTGGGCAACACAGACCCCATCTATTTTGAAACATTAAATGAAATCGCCCGCCTGTTTGGATCGCAGGCTCTCTGGTGACGCCCAGTCACCCTGCAAGCTCACCCGAACGTCAGAATGCTGGGCGACTCGCCCGTCTCTCTCTTCCGGTGCAGGTGCATCATGGGCTTCATCAGCAAGGAGCGGGAGCGCGCGCTGCTCAAGGACCAGCAGCCGGGGACCTTCCTGCTGCGCTTCAGCGAGAGCAGCCGGGAGGGGGCCATCACGTTCACGTGGGTGGAGCACTCGCAGAACGGAGGCGGTGAGTGGGCCCGGGCCACGGGCTGCGCACTCGCCCCCAGGCCTGACCGGCGTGCTGCGTGGCTGTGATCGCCGCCTGCCCACAACTCGCTTGGGATGTGACGCGGCCGGTCCTCTACTTGCCCCGTGTAGGCCCCGGCTAGGATTTAATAACCTGCCCTGAGCACTTGCACCCACGGCCTGGAACCTGTGGTGGAAATGATGGCGGAGTGTCTCTCTTTCGTCCAGGGTGTTATCTGTAGATCAGGGATGTGAGTCAGTGTCCTCCACAGCCTGATCCTGGAGGAGTCACATTTCCTGCAGGTGCAGGGAATGCTGACAGCCCAGACTTTGAGAGAAGCCTCCTGCGCCATCATGGGCAGCAAGGTGGGGCAGTTGTGTTGAGGGCCACCTTCCTCGCCTTCACCAGGAGAGCTCTGCATCCATCTGGGTCATGGACCAGATGAGTCCATGGCTGAGAGACTCCAAAAACTCGCAACAGGGCAGGGCTCTGGGGATGAGGCTGAGCAGTGCAGATGAACAAATGATAAAGTCAGACTGATTACTTTTCACTAGAGTTGGCACTGTTTGAAGGTCCGGAGAAAAAACTGCTTTGTTCCTGTGATGTTTACGCTTTCTATAGGTCGATGGCAAAAAGGTGGAATTCTTTTCTGGCCCTATTGAGTTGTGCTCCTGAAGGAAATGCGGGAGGGCTGGAATTCCAGCTTGGTGAGGGCCTGCCCTTCCTCGGCCCTGGTAGTGCCCTTTCCAAGTCGGCTGAGGGATGGAGCTGGCAGTCCCAGCAGAGACGAGGGAGGCCTCAGCGGCCAGGTGCGGTGAGCAGGGCCACACCAGGTGCAGGTCTAGGGACCTAGCGTGGCCTTGCAGTCCCAAGCTGCAGCCTTGGGAATGTGTGTGCTCACAAGAGGACTCTGGATCACGTAGGACTAGAGACCCAAGTTAGGTCTGGGAACAGGGAGAATTAAACTGTGATTTATTACATCAAGGGTCAGAGGAAAATTAGGGCCTTTTTTTGATTTCAAAAGTTGTTTTCTGTATATCATTATTATTTAATTTAAGAGTTATGTATTTCAACATGAAAAGAAAAGCAAACAGAAAGGAAGCTTATCTTTAGTAACTTAATCTATGGCTCAGGACAAGATGACCCAGTTAGTAATTAGTTGTTTATCTGCCTGAAAACAGTGTATCATTATAGAAGCTGGCTTTTAAAAGTTTCTAACAAACCTGTTTTGGCCAGATTCATAGTTCTAAGCAAATAATGACAAATGCAACTTTACTGAGAATCATAGTTGCCTTTATTTTTCCTTTTTTAAAGACAGGATTATAATTTATTTAGAAATAAAGAAGACATGTTATAGGTTACATTATAACTCCTAGATTGTGATGAGTTCTTACCAAATTCACCCCCATCCATCACCTCTGCAGGGTTTTGTTTCTCTGTTCTCTGTTGTTTGGGGGTATTCTGTGGGGTTTACTCAGCTTTTCTCTTTTTCAGAACTTGAATTCCATTCTGTGGAACCCTACACAAAGAAAGAACTTTCTGCTGTGACGTTCCCTGACATCATTCGCAATTACAAAGTCATGGCTGCTGAGAATATTCCAGAAAATCCCCTGAAGTATCTGTATCCAAATATTGACAAAGACCATGCCTTTGGGAAATACTACTCCAGGCCAAAGGAAGGTCAGTGGGGACAGCAGGCGGTCACTGGTCATTGCCCTGGTGAAACCAGCACAGTGCATCCTTCCTAGTGGTGGAATGGTTTTTTTCAGAGTTTTTTAATACAGACTGGCCCTTGTCTCCCTGTAAGAGGAGGGTGCCAGCACAACTCCATCTATGCTGTGTCATTAACCTACCACTTTCTTTTGAGCTGGTAAAAGCAGGCTTTTGAAAGATGGTATGGGCTGGGCATAGTGGCTCATGCCTATAATTCTAGCACTTTGGGAGGCTGAGGTGGGAGAATTGCTTGAACCCAGGAATTCAAGACCAGCCTAGGCAACATAGCAAAACCCTGCCTTTACAAAAAACTTAAAAATTTGCCAGACGTGGTGGTGTGTGCCTGTAGTCCCAGCTCCTCGGGAAGCTGAGGCAGGAGGGTCGCCTGAGCACAGGAGTTGGAGGCTGTGGTGAACCATGATTGTTCCACTGCACTCCAGCCTGGTGGCAAAGGAAGACTCGACTTGAAGAAAAAAAAAAAAGATTATATAAACTCAGCATAGTTGAAATGTAATGCAATATTTGGTTTGGTATAGCTAGTAGGAAATGAATGGATAATTTCTTATTTTAGTGATGTTGGAAAAGTCCATTTCTGGTCTTATGTATTTGTTATATGATCACTTTTTTCATATGAAAAGGGTGAAAGGTAGGAACCGTGGCTCACTGATTTATGGCATCGTGCATGTGTTAAGATTGAAGAAAGTGAGGCCTGGCAGAAGGGAATTGGTTCATTCAGGGCAACCCAATTCGTTACTAGGTTCTATTTTTATTAGCTGTTATTGAGAGGAGGTCTCATCTCAGAACGCAGGTCCTCCTTCTCAGTCGTCACTGAATTGCATTGGAGAAGGTTTGGACTAGACCCTGTTAGGTTTGGAACACACCCACAAAGCAAACTGGTTTTCAGAATCAGAAATTTCAGTCTTAGGATAATTACTTTGGAATGAAGATGCCCCCAGCCTGCCTTGACAGCTGTGCGTATGCATCAGCCAGGCTAATGCCGCCAAACTAGATTGAACTTTGTGTATTTTGGGCTCCAACTTCTTGCGGGATTTAAGGCCTTGGAGAGAGAAGTCTCCCAGGTAGAGTCCTGCTGAAATCTCCTCCCCTTTTTTTTCTAGCTGCGTCTGCATTCCCGCAAGAATTTCAGGTGACCTAGAGAGGGAAGTCATAGCCCCTTAAAGTTACAGGATGCTAAGCTGTCAAGAAAAATAGTAGGATTTTGATTCTTCCCCAAAATTGATCGTTCTATTTTTGTGTAATTTCTGCTAATGGAAAGTGTGCTCGTGTGCTTGCTTCTAGCACCAGAACCAATGGAACTCGATGGCCCTAAAGGAACTGGCTATATCAAGACTGAGTTGATTTCTGTGTCTGAAGTGTAAGTGAACACAGAGGAGGAAAGTGACATGTTCAGAACCTCGTGCCAGCCTTGCTCCTGGCTGGGCCTGTTGAAGACGCTTGTGTTTTCCTTTCTGTTATCATTGCTGTCACCACCACAGTTGGACTTGTTGGAAAGATCCCAATTAGTGGTCCCCATGTTCCTGCCTTAAAAAACAAAACAAAACCAAAAAACCCCCAAAAAGCCAAAGCCAAAATTGAGTTGTATTTAAGGTAAAGAAGTTCTCCCCAAACGGATACTTTGAAAAAGTATAAATAAAATGAGCAAAAATTGATGAGAGTGGGAAAGCAGTTCTTTTCAGCCTAGAAAAGGCCAAAGTCATGATTGAGATACACTGTCTCCACTTGCTTTTGTTCTGTTGTTTCATTTTACAAAAGGTAGAAAACATTTTGGAAAAGTCTTTGTCAGTTATTTGGCCCACAGCACTGCTGGGGTGGATGGATGTAGCCTTCATGTAAAAACCCTCTGCGGAGCAGCTTTAATCTGCATACAGAGCTCAAGGTAGGGACGAGGGACTCCCCAGACCTTCCTTGGCGCTCTTCTGTTGAGGGCGAGCCAGAGGCCTTGTCGCCTGGGGTGACTCACCAACATGTCCACACAGAGGTTTCCCCGGGCAGAAGGGCTTGGGTTCCAGTCCAGCTGTTGCCCACTCGCTTCTCTGGAGTCTGATTGTTTCCCAGGGGGCCGGGCTGGGGCCAGGAACCTCCCGTGTATTTTGCAAGTATATGCACTCACCCGAAGTGAACATCTAGAGTGATGATCTGGTGGCAGGAAGCCGTGGAGGTGTGTGTCGTCACTGTCATCTCACAGATGTTGACACTCCTCTTTCTTCTCTCCCTGTTGCAGACACCCCTCTAGACTCCAGACCACGGACAACCTGCTCCCCATGTCTCCCGAGGAGTTTGATGAAGTGTCTCGGATAGTTGGATTCGACAGCATGGTGAGTGGGATATCCCTGGGGAGGGAGCCCCAGGTGGAGCCCAACGCAGGGGCGTTCTAAGTGAGTATGACAAGTAGGAATGTTGCATCAGCAGGATTCTTATTCCTGGCATTCAGCGCCTTCCGAAAGCTAAGTGACATTTCAAATATTTAAAAGTTCTCTCTTTGCCCTTCAAAGTTGACCATGTAGAAATTTCATAGTTAAGGAACTAAGCTTTCTCTGGTAAGAACATGTTTCCCTCTGGCCTGTGATTTCATCACTGTGTCTAGTGAGGGAGTATTCTTCTTAGGAAGGGAGGGCTAAGCCGCGGTAGTTAGAATAATTAGAGAGAATTACACTTAGCCAGCAGCAATGAAACAACCTCACCTGCTTCATATTTGAGAGCTACTTTGTCCCACTGGCTCCTGGGGCATTGACAGGCATGTCAAGGGTAAAAGGTTCAAGGAGTGAAACAGTTAATGAATCTCACGATAAGAGCATGATTGGCCACTGAAGAGAGCATCTTCCTTCGGGAAAATGTTTTTCAGTACATCAAATAGGATTGTTTACCTTTCAGCCTGAAATCCTTCCTCCTGAAGATTTTCTTGGTTGGCTGGAGTTTTGCTGAGGCAGTTTAATTTTAAGCTGTTTTCCACATGATGCTATTCCAGTTCATTTTTTAAAATTTGTCTAATGCTTTAAAAGATACCCTCTCTGAGTCATTTCTGGCCTTCCTTCATCACCATGTACCTGGTGCCTGGCAGAGTATGTGCTCAGCAGTGAGAGAAGAAACTGGTGGGGAGAATGAGGGAAGGGAGCGTGTGACTCTCAGACACGCAGGGAACCGGGCATGTGGCCTCTGTCGTGCCTGCCCGATTGAGGCTTCTTGTGTGTGACTCTTTCTTTGTCCCTTTTCTTCACCCTAAGAAGCACGGGCTAATGTCTTTCGGGACGGTGTCTTCCTACACCTTCCTGAGTGTTGAGGATGAGAAGGGTCATTTAGAAAAAGGGTGGCTCACCAGGTAGCTTAGGCCTGTAATCCCAGCACTTGGATAGACCCAGGTCAGAGAAGTAGTTGAGGCAAGGAGTTCAACACAGTGAGACCCCATCTCTAAAAATAAATGTAAAAACTAGCCAGATGTGGCGCATGCCTGGAATCCCAGCTACTCAGGAGAGTGAGTCAGGAGGATCGTTTAAGCCCAGGAGTCTGAGGCTGCAGTGAGCTAGGATGGTGCCACTGCACTCCAGCCTAGATGAGAGAATGAGACCCTGTCTCGAAAAGAAAAGTCCTTAGCTAGTGTGGCCTCAAAGTAGCTCCATTCCTCTTGGCAAGTGTAAAATGAGCCTTTTCTGCGAGGAAGGGAGCATTCTGTGAGGCTGAGGCTGCAGCTCCCAGCACCACTATAACGTGCTTTATAGGCCAGCATGGAAGTGAAGAAGGGGAGATCCTATTCGGAAGTGAGTTTTATCAATGGAATGGAAACCTGGGTCATCTGCTTTCCATGTGTCTTGTTGTTCCTGAGCATGTTGCATCATTATCACCATCGCCACCCTTAGTAGGTGACATGTATTAAGCACTTACTATGTGCCGTGCACTTCACAGGTAGTGACTCGTTCAGGGCTCATGTCAACCTTTTGGGCCATTGTCATTCCCATTTAGATAGATGTGGGAACAGCTCCTCATCCCCTATCCCCGCCCTATGTAACTTGACTAAGACCGAGCAGTTAGTCGGAATCTTGGAATCCACCTAGTGAGGCTCTGGAGTGCATGCTCTTGTCCAGTGTCCTAAGATGCCTCCCACAGAAAGATCCTGCACCCTAAATAAGCTGTTCACACAGGACTGTGTTTTAATTGTTATGAGGACAAAGGCGGTGTGGTCTTTGGGTGAGAGGCCTATGTGTGTTTAGGACTTGGCAGTCAGCGTTCCAGCTCTGTCATCACTGTGACTCCCATGACCTTGAGAAGGGAGATGGGTTAGTTCCCTCTCTCTGTTCAGGTGCTAGGCCTGCCCTCTGTGTGCTCTCAGAATGACCCTAGTAGAGCATTTTAAATGCTCATAGTAAATGGCAGGAAATGGTTCTGTGGTCTTGGAATGCCTCAACAGCCATTCCATCCCATTGCAGATAATTTCATTCATTTCATTTGTAGAATAAAATAAGTGTATTTCACACACACACACACACACACACACACACACACACACGTCTCCATATGAACCCACAGAAAACCTAACGAGCTAAAAGAGGCAGTGATGTAGACATGGCCTCGTTAGACAAAATAAGAGTTGGATTAGCCTCTAAGTTGGGTCAGCACCTCCACAGCTTGCTCTGTCCTCACCCTTGGCCATGGCTCCATTCAGCAGCCACTCATGGAAATAAGGCAGACGTTCTGAAATAAAGAACCACTCTCAAAGTGGGTTCGTTCTCCCCAAGACTGAGGCTGCAGCTCTGAGTGAGGTGACATTGGAGGTGCAGCCTTGGGAGCAAGAGGACCACAGGCTCCTGATGAGACAGTCCAGAGAGCCAGTGCATGGCGTTTTCTGTAGCATGACTTGGGTATTTGTTCAGTGTGCATTTCCTGCAGTCAGCTTTTTCTCTGAGACTGTAATAGACCAGTCGGCTCGCTTAGAGCCTTTGGCCAAAGCTCATAATAACAGGAATATTAATTGTCTGCTATTTGCCGTTTGCTATACTGGATAGTTTGCATATTCTCTCTAACTTAATCCTTTCAACAAGCCTAGGTACTGTTAGCCTCCTTTTGATGGATGAGGACTGTGAGAGACAGAGACTGAAGTTAAGAGAGGTGAAATCAATCACATGCCATGGGGACACAGTGACAGAATCTGCATCCAGGCTTTCTGCTTCCTTCCTCTCTCTCTCTCTCTCTCTCTCTCTCTCTCTCTCTCTCCCCCCATCTATATTATTGATATTGTCTATCTAATTATCTATCTATCCATCCATCCCTCCATCATCCATCTTACCATCTGTCATCCATCATCTATCCATCCAACCATCATCTCTCTATCTTCTGTCATCTATGTGTCTTTATCTGTCAACCTAAATCTATCTATCTAATCTATCCTCCCCTCCCTCTCTTCACCCTCAAAGGCCACCACCTGTACACATGTGCACTATCAGCCAGGCACGGGAGTAAAACCTTCACTGTGCTTTTCAATCCAAAAAAACTTTTCTCAGTGCTGACTACTACACGCTATTGAATGCTTGGGATTAAAACAACCTTCTCAAGTGGACTTCCTGTCTAGTGCCATCTGTCTTGGCACTACTGTTATCTGGGCAGGAGAGTTCTTTGCTGTGGGCCTGTCCTGTGCTTTGTGAGGTGTTTAGAAGCATCCCTGACCTTTCCCAAATGGATATGGTGGCACATACACCCCCACACCTACTCATGACCATCAGATATGTCTTCAGACATTGCTGGGGGCAGAATTATTCCCAACTGAGAGCATCTAGTCTAATGGCAGAGCCCAGGGTGGAAGCCAGACAGGAAGTCAGAAACAGCTTGAGTTCTTTGGAGGAGCAATCTAATGGCCACGGTTGTCCTGGTCGAGGCAGCTGGGCAGAAGGCACTGGTGGTAGGGAGGGGCTCTTAGTAGTTCTGCTTCTCTAGCCTGTCCCTAAAACACATTTATTTACCCTCTGAGGAAACTTGGAGGGAGATTTCTCCCTTTCCCTCCCTCCTCCCTCCCTCTGGCTAGAGCTCAGCATTGTCTCGTTCTTGTTTTCATGAGCAGATTTGCCACGTTGCTGTGTCCCCAGACTTGCATCACAGCAAAAAGCTTTATGCCATGTGGGTGGATTCACAGAATTAAGCCAGCAGGCAGCAGAGTAGTAATCCATCAGCTTAGGTGACATAAAGGGTCTCAATGAGTCCAGGATAATGGACGGGACATGCGGAAGGCCCCTAATGCCATGGCAGTTGTTTGCTTTTGGAAGTGTCTTCCTACTACTCCATTCTAGAATGCACAAGTAATGCTTAACGTACGAATCTGCATGTCACCAGACCAGCCTGAAAACGTATCCGCATTTTATCTTTTCACAGATGAATGCAGTGTAGAGCATGAAGGTTTCTTGTCTTCCCCGGGACTGTTTTCCTAACCATTTGTGACGCCCCTGCTCACATCCCTCACATCCCATGTTTCTAGGGGAATGCAAGAAAGGCCATCAAGTTTGCTGCCACCTGTTGATAGCAAGTGCATTTTTCTCTAACTCGGAAACACCTGTTAATCTGAAGGGCATCGTGCATCTTCTTGAAGGTAAAACTGAAAGGCATTCTCCTCAGTGTGGGATTTGCAAATGAAAAACATCCAGATGCCCCAAAGCTCCAGGACTAGAACGCAGGTCCCCAGGGAAAGGTGAGAAGTTTAGCAACATCATGCGAGTGCCGTGCACAAAGTCAGTGCCAATTGTTCTAGGCTGTTGGACAGATCAGATCAGCCCTTATTTAGGGAACTGCTTGATGTAGGACTGTTAAATTTCTATTCTGGAGAATTCTCTTATGTTCTCCCTGCTTTAAATGTGACTTGTGGCTGGAAGTTTTCCACTGGTTTACCTGTGATATCGTTCAAAGCCGTTTATATACAGTTATATCAACCCCTTATCAAAGGTAGCCATCTTGCATCCAGTAGGGTAAAAAAGTTGTGTATTTTATTACGTCTTCCACATCTGCCAATTTAAAACTATCTTTTGAGAGACTTTTAGCTTTCCTGTGTGTTACAGCTTAATGATACTGGCTGGTAGCAATAGAAAGATATCTATCCATTTTCCAAATTCACAAATAATGTTTTCTGTCTAAACTTCAATTCCAAAGCTAAAGACCACGTCTTGGTCACTCGTCCATAAAATTTTTGCAGTTCTCTCAAGGGAGTCAGGCTATTCACAACAACATGCTCAAGGCAAGTCCTCCTATTTCTTATTAAGTTGAAATTAATCACAGATGAATTAAACTCAGAAGTTTAATTCTGAGTTTAAACTCAGAAGTTTAATTCATGTTTCTTAAATGGGCTAGTTTGTCCTTATTGTTGTTAGCCAGTATTTAGTCTATTAGCCATTAAATTGGAGAAGGAATAGGAAAAGTAGTAACTGATAACCTGAATCATTAGCCAGAGAAAATGAGAATCAAGTTACTTCGAAACTCTCGTCCTGTGTAACTGTATTGAAAACTGTGGATGTTTCACTGATAAATGTGTTTCTCTGACAATTACATTTGCAAATGGTTCTCTTGCCTCTCCTGTGCTCTGTCCAATACTTTTTGGCATGGATGCTGTTTCTTGGAGTGTGCTGGATTTTACCTCATCCTTCGTTAGCATGGACACAAAACAGTGGGTAGGGGAGATGGGCTGAAGGTTCTTCTGAATAATTTCACAGACTGCTGTTCACGTGGCTGCATCGAGTCTCTGAGCAGTCTCTGCCACAGCTATGCTCTTCTGCAGATGCCATATTTTTCCTTGATAGGAATAAAGTTTTCCCAAAGTCTGTTTTAAAATTAAGGCTAAAGTATATGTATTGCATTAAACACAACACGCACACAGTGCTTTCCTGGCATTGCACACAAACCAAGGCCTCCTCTGTTTTTACGTTAAGATGGTATCAACCCAATTGAGTTTTGGTTGACTTTTAAAAATGGAAATAATCAAGAAACAAGAAGACAACATTGAAAAAAATGTTGCTTCTAAGTGCTGGGTGTTAACTGTTTGTTCTGTTTTTGCCCTGTGTGAGAATGACTTGGCATGGTGTCATCTGACTGCACCAGCCAAGAGACTTGACTTTTAAGAAATATCCAGTGTTAGTCTGGATATATTTAGTTATCATTTATTTTTATTTTTATTTTTTTTGAGTTGGAGTCTCACTCAGTCGCCCAGACTGGAGTGCAGTGGCCGCTCCCAGCCACGCAGCCTCGACCTGCCGGGCTCCGGCAATCCTTCCGCCTCAGCCTTCCAAGTAGCTGGAACTACAGGCGCGCGTTACCACGCCCTGCTAAAATTTTTTGATTTATTGTAGAGATGAGGTCTTGCCAAGTTGCCTAGGCAGGTCTCGAACCCGCAGGCTCAGGCAATTCACTCACGTCAGCCTCCCAAAGCGTGGGATTACTGACTGAGCTACCGAGCTCGGCCAGTTATCATTTAGTATAAAGATTGTAAAAGTGACTGGCATTGTGAAGTTAGTTCTGTTTTTCTCACATACATCAGTCCTTATTTTAAAATCAGATTATTGGCCGGGCTCGGTGGCTCAGCCTGTAATCCCAGCACTTTGGGAGGCCGAGGTGAGTGGATTGTTCAAGACCCGCCTGGACAACTTGACGAGAACACATCTCTACAATAAATCAAAAATCAGCCGGGCATGGTAGCGCACGCCTGTAGTTCCAGTACTCGGAAGTCTGAGGCGGAAGGATCGCCGGAGCCCGGCAGGTCGAGGCTGCGGTAGCCGGGAGCGGCCATTGCACTCCAGTCTGGGCGACAGAGTGAGACTCCAACTCAAAAAATAAACAAATAAATAAATAAAAATAAGATTATTAACACTATTTTCCTATATGCTGCCCTCATGTATCTACTTGTGAGCAGAATTGCCATGGCAGGTTAAGAGAGGTCAGTAGAAGATCAGAGGAGAAATATTGGAGAGATCTAATAGGTGCCATCAACAGCAAACAAAAAACTACTTTGGCTCTTGGTGACTCCAGCTGCCTGCAAACACACAAAAAATTCAGTGCTTCTTTTAAAATGAATCTGGGTGCTGCTCATACCCCAACTTAGCAGTTTTTGACTTCAAAAGTACACAGGAAATGGGACTCTGTCTTGTCTCCAAAGCAGTCATCGCCCCTGCGAATAAATGAATTACTACAAGAAGTTATCGTACCCACACAGAAAGGTGCCACTGCCTTCCAAAGATGTCAGAAGCTTGAAAGCCATGCCCTGCTCAAAGTAAAATGCACTGTGTGCTGGAGAAAAATAGTCACCAAATTAGACATACTCTGGCAGGATCGCTTTAACTGATATCAGAATAGCAGTATAGGCCTGAATCCTAGCATCATAACCAATATCATCAGTTTCATATACACACCTGTGGTATTAGCATCCAGGAAACAGAAGTCTCTTTGTAATGAACACTAAGAGCTATATTTCTCCAGGGAGTAAAGAAGTTATACCCTGGCTAGCTAGTACAAGTCTGCGTTCTTACACAATTAACCACTATAAGAAGGCACCGGATAAATCCTATGAGGTGTGTGAAGTTTGAAAGGTGTTTTATAAGCATAGAGCTTCTGTGTACCACTTGGGACAAACGTCTCATTTTTACAGAAAGAGAGTTTTCTGAGATGGCATTGAGTAAAATCTATTTGTTGCCTGATAAAGAACATGGGATATGAAGGCAAGTCTTAGTGAACACAGCAGTCTTTTATCACATCTGACCATCCCAGGGAAAGGACAGGAAAAATCTAGAAAGCATTTTGAAAACTCTTGTACCTACCTGCTGAGCTGGGATGTTCTTCCCAAATTAGGGTACTTACATGACAGGCTTCTTTTAGTTCAGGTTTATTCATCTATTAATTCTCAAAGATAGAGCACCAGCCATGAACCAAGTGTTATTCTAGATGCTTGGGAAACCTTGGTAAACAAAAACAAAGATCCCTGCTTTTAGAAATCATATACTGTAGTGCAGTTACCTTACTTATTTAACATAAGAAAGATTTTGTGAAGCAAACCTAACCAAAAGCTACAGATAATGTAAGTGGTACATTAAAAACCTATAACTTTAAAGAAATGACATTTAAACCAGTTTTAGGAAGGGTATAGATAATCAGTTTTGTTCTAAGATGAGTTTATGTAACTCTTAAATGATACTGACTCAAAAATATTCGCTTCCAGGCTCTGGTGAACTAACTTCAGATTATGCATTTGCTATACTTACTGAGAAATTAAGCACCTTACTTCATTTATTATAAGAAAGGACCATACCTAAGCAGTTTTTACCTTATTTATTAAAGTTATATTAGGTATTCAAAGACCATAAATCTACCAAAAGGTAGAATGCTGTCAATGCTGACCAACCCCCCTGAACTCTTCCACCAGATTTTATGGTGCTGTTACAGCACTTGAGTACCTCGCTGCTGGGGTCCGTTTGTAACCCTTCCCCGTGTCTTGTATACTGTTGAAACTGCCTTAATATTATTTTGCTGTTAGGACTGCTTGTCTCAACTTCATAGCAGGCTTTTTATTGACTCTTTAGCGAGTCGGCGAGGGGCATGGTGAGGGCACACACAGTCTGGAGTCAGGTTCAGGCTCCAGAAATAAAAACCCCAGGCTCTACCGTTAATGCCTTCCATGCAGTTGTTTTACTTGATTTCAACCTCCTTTTTAAAAATAACAGCCTAGTTTTATAATCCTTCCTTCCCAAAGCACAGACATCTCTACTCTAGCGAATCACACTTTTTCCCACACATAACTATACAATCCCCCCTTTCCCAAAAAGCCTTTTTTTTTTTTTGAGTTGGAGTCTCACTCTGTCGCCCAGACTGGAGTGCAGTGACCGCTCCCGGCCACTGCAGCCTCAACCTGCTGGGCTCCGGCGATCCTCCTGCCTCAGCCTTCCGAGTAGCTGGAATTGCAGGTACGCGCTACCACGCCCGGCTAATTTTTTGATTTATTGTAGAGATGAGGTCTCGCCTGCCCAGGCGGGTCTCGAACCCGTGGGCTCAGGCAGTCCACTCACCTCAGCCTCCCAAAGGCGTGGGATTACAGGCTGAGCCACCGAGCCCGGCCCAAAAAGCCTTTTTAAAAGTGCCACCAAACACATTCACAGGCTGCTTCCCTGAACCATCTGATGTATGATCTATGAATTTACTCATTTCACTATGAGGGTTAGCAAGTAAACTTAGGAAGATGACTCTGACTCTTAAAAACGTCCCAGAAAAAATAAAATGATCTTGTGTGAAAAACGAAAATAACTACTCACTATTTGAGATTTTTCATACACTTGTTGCCCCCGCACCGACATCCTGCTATATGCGTCACTGAAGTTGACTCTATGTTGCAGGACTTAAGATTTAGCACTTTGGCCTCTCCCTAAGACTTAGCTAACATGAATGAGTTAACCTGAATAAGCTAAGATGCATATTCTCTCTATAGTGAGCAGAGCATAATGAGTCCTGAACCATAGCCCACTCTTGGGGCTCAGCTTCCTCTATAAAAGAGTGGATAGATTTGAGGATTTCTGATACCCCTCCAGTTCTAGGATACCAGCGATGCAGATGGCATACCACTGTGACTCCTACAGCAAGGCAATTTACTTTGTGACAAATAGCTTTGATAGATGAGAATGTAGCAGCCATGGTGTTCAGGTACCTTTTCCATGGTTAGAAAATCCTACACTGGCCCCCAAACTGGAATGAGTGTACTGAGGACCAGGGGTTTCTGGCATTGGAAGTGCAAGCTCTTCCCATATTGGATGAATTAGGGGGGAGCTGAGGCTGGCCAGGTGGTCCAGCTAGGACCAATCAGGACCCTAGCGTGGCAGTACAAGGTCCACCTCTTCAAACAGATTTGAAGGCTTGGTGAAGGTAACCTCTCCTCACACAAAAGGCTATATCTAAGGGTCCAGTGCAACAGGTATTTACTGAGCACTTCCTAACCATAAAGGAATCATGTGAGGTTCTAGGGGATTAGAGACATGCTTGCCCATCCCTCATCTTCAAAGGCAATCTCCTTACAGGATTCTCACCCTAATCACTGTGATGACCCACCTGGCACCTTGCATAGTACCTGGCTCATAGCAGGTGTTAGACGTGGATTCGAACCAATCAGACACAGTCCCTATGCTTGATGGTGTTCCCAACCCAGTGACACAAGGGAAACCCTTGTTTTAAGAAAATTCATTTTCACACAGGTTTTTTATTTTGATACATGTATTTATTATGCTGTAAAAAGCAACACTACCTGATTTCATTTAAAATAAATGTTTCCAGTTTCAGAATACTTACAACTTCTAGTATTTAGATTCACTTTGGGAGTTTTGGGAAGCAAATACATTCATAGCTGTGTAACCTCAGGAAGAGTCTAAACCCAACATCAGGTCACTCCGTCTCTGCCAGACAGGTGATGGCATCAGGCGGTCAACAGCTAATCCAGCTCTGCAGCTGCAGGGTGGCGCGGGCAGCCGTGGGTATGCGTGTCACCAAGGGTGACGCCAGCAAGACACGTGTGTGCAAAGCTTGAGATGAACATGCCCAGAGAGCTTTTGTGATACACAAAAAGCATATGTGATCCTAAAGCCAACACGGAAAGATCTTTGGCGTTCACTGACGGCAGCAGCTAAGAGCACAGTGAGCAAGCATCCTACAGTGAGTTCCTCATGCCCAGCACGCAGCAAACAGCTGGAGTGTCACGGCCAACTGGGCACGTTAACCGAATGACAGAGGTTTACAGAGCGCCACTGAGCTAAGAAAAGAGAACGGTCCTTGTTCCCAAATCCTACTTAGAAGTGCTTCTTAGGATAGGAGAGCCTCAACATCACTGGTGATCTTCAAGCCACACATTTGACCGTCTTCAGTGTCACTTTAATCACACAGCAAGCTCTTTGAGCAGTCATCTCAGTTGACTTCAGTGAAAATGTGTGTACCCTGTAGTGTCTTTGGGGATTATGCTGCAGGTGCCACCTGTCCCTACAGCCCGACGGCCCTGGGGGGTGGGAATGTGCAGCAGGACTCTGCCCATCCCCCACTGCCCATGGATGACGTGGGAGCAGCCCCAAGCCTCATGCAGCCAAGAATACCGGCCATGGTCCCAGCATAGGAGGTGCCGCTGGGGTGATGGGAGAGCAGCAGCCAGAGCCACCCACTCAGCCTGGAGGAAAAACCAAAGCACGTGGTGGCTACAGGAGTGAGCAGGTGCCATCTGGCATTGTAAAGCAGTCTAGAAGCAGAGGCATGTGCTGATCAGACAAAAAGGGAATGGCTGTGTGTGACAGCCACTAGCTCAAGTTGCTGAGGATTCTGCTCATTCCACTAAACACAGCTTCGGAGAAGTCCATCTGTGTGTGCGTGTGTGTGTGCTTCATATCAGAAATCTCACCAACACACCCTCCATCTCTGAGGTATGTCAGGACAGAAGACATCTGTGCTTGTCCTGGAGACTCCTGCTCGCTTTGCTTTGAAGCCCGTTACCCACTTTCCATCTGAATCGTGAATCACCTCCCTAGACAAATGGTGGGCTCAATCCAAAATGAAATGATCTATAGGCCCACCAGATTATACAACAGAGTCAGAAGAAATTTGGAGTGATCCAGTGGTCCCAGGGAGGACAGATAGCCTGATGTAGTCTCTTAATGACAGGCTTGAAGACAAATGCTGTTTGTAGCAGTTCTTATACTATCAGGATCACTTTGGTAGCTGAGAGCATTTCTGAATTTATCTTTATCCTAGAAGCTAAAAAATACCTTCTTGAAGAGCTGCAGTAGTGCACCCCTTTGCTTTTTTAGACTGACAAATTTGACTTGTTTTTACTTAGCTTAGTAATTTTGTCTCTGGTTCATCTTCTATAGACAAATGGTGAAGTTATAGCGCTGATGCCAGAAACAGGAGGCATCTTCTGACCTACTGTGGATAACATGAAAACTGCATAGTATTCCAGCACTCACTTCCCAGCTGAAGGAAAGAAGCTGACAGCTCCATGTCTGAGAAGAGAGGCTGGGCTAAAGGGATATAGAAAAAGGAAATTTTTTCAAAAGTATTATAATAACTACATTCACACATATGTTTTGGTCACCAAACATATCTTAAACAGATTCCCTGATAAAGTCTACTCAGAATCGGCCTGCCTACTAACAGTTGTTAACTATTAGGATTTCTCAGGAGTCACACCATGAAGCTAGGGTGAGGGAGACATTTTAAACATACAACCCGAAGTGCATATAGTTTTCAAACACTCAAACTAAACCTATATTCGAAGTCTTGAAAATCACACTATTTGCTTCTAAAAGCAGCCCTGACCCATTGGGACAGACTGTACAACAGAGCTTAATTTACAAATGCATGTTGGCAGATCATCACCATAAATTGGAAATTCACAAAACACACAAATGAATTATGAAGACCACACAGTTAAGCTAGCATTGATAACTATTTCTTTTACATCAAATTGTACAATGCACGAGGTAAATATTGCTCACATTATGGAGGGAGATTGTTTTATTTCTTTTTTTTTCCCCAAAGAGATCAGATTTGTCCTGTGCGCACAATGAAGAAAATTCCAGTAACACTGAAATGACAAATTTGTAAAACGTACACCACTACCAGATAGAAATACACACATTCTTCATAATCATTTTCCACAATTAAATAGGTAAGTGATTTAAATCTTGGGACTTAAGACCATTATAACAACCCGTCAAGATTCTTATGGACGGTTTGGTTCTCCTTCCCGTTGTCGGAGTCTCCTTGAGGTGTGTACTGGACTTGGTATTCCTGGAGGATTTTAAATACGTCATGATGTCCAAAGTGCAGTGCTTCATCCATAGGAGTATTATTCCACCTAAACACGTAGCACAGCACAGACAGGGTCATTAGGTAACTTGTGCACAAAGACTTTATCACCCAGCATTCCTAGATGTTTAAATGCAGGTTACACGGCCACCCGAGTTTAGTCATTTTATAAGTACAAATTAACAGTAGAAATGCAGAGGGGGATTTATAATTCAAAAGTTGTCACAGAGACAAGTTGGAATATGGGGAGGAAGAGAAAAAGGTCTTCTATGAAGGGATCTTGTTTGCATATCCAAGGGCTTATGGAGGGACCTTTATATGGAAAGTCCTGTGTTGACAGATATAATAGACTCGTCAGGGTGCCTGAATTTTAGCTTCATGAAAAGCCCTAAGTACCTCTTTTTAAACAGTATAGTCAAAGAAAATGCAGGTATATAACATCCGTTATCCTAGCATTTGGCAGAAAATTTTTGTGTTCTTGTCAATTCAAAGTTGCAGTAAATCTCAGAAATCTAGAAATAACCATGACCTCATTAAGACTCAAACACACAACGGAGGAGCAAGATTGGTCCCAGAGGAACTGACATTTTCATCATCTCTGGTAAGGATGGGAGGCCACAGACTCAATAGGACTATTACACAATCAGAAGAATAACCCCTTTCCATGCTAAGTGTACTTCTGGGCTATGTCATTTAGATGAATGGAAATGAAGATTCGAGGATGAGAAGTTGCCAGCAGTGGTCAATCTGCTCAACCTTTTGCAAGAGGAGACATCGCTACAGAACTCACAGCCCCAATGAGCGACAGGCTATGACTGTCAGTTCCCTAGTACTTCACAATCTATGAATGAAGCCTGTCCTTCCCTCTCACTCTACTTATGTCATGAACTTCTCCACAGCTGCTCCCTGTCCATGTGCTACCCCCACCACCTTTCTTCTAGTTTTACTCCTTCCCATTTCTTTCCTTCCTTTCCATCTTTGTCCCAACCCTTTTTCTTGCCTGATAGGAACACAATATGGAGCCAAAAGATTTTTGAAAGTCTTATTTTTTAATATTTGTGGATGAAGTTTGATAGCCTGTTTTTAATTTTTTTAATCAGGTAAGGAACACATCTTTATGCTTCCCAAAACACAGCTGAATTAAGTGGCTTTGCACTTTTATATTATTGACCTTCATGAGTCTAAGGAGGCAGTGGCTCTAAACGTGGATTTTTCACTCAGCCTGTAATTTCACTCAGCTTGTAATTATCTATATTTTTGGAAAAATTCAATGTCAACTGCAAATTACCTTTTTTACAACTCTTCTTCAATGAAACAATGAAAAATATATACTTTAAAGAATACACTATTTCACTCAAATCTACTTTATAATTTAAGGTGACACTGATTCTATGAAATAGAGAAAAAAGGTTGTCTTGGGTCTCTAGGTTTCATTCTGGAATTGTTGAATACCTAGTTACCAAGTTAGATGCTCAGCTAACTTCTGCCTCTCAGAAGGGTACTTCTACATTCCTAGAGGCCAATTTAGGACAAAAAGAAAAAAAAATTATACATAAATATGCAAAGCACAGCAAATACAGCATATGTTAAACAATGTTTTAGTTGGGAGTATAAACACAGGAGGAAAACACTAGTTTCTTGCTCTAGAAAGAGGTGGGATGGGCATTACATTTGGGGATGAAAGGGAAGACTGACACCCTAACATGAGATTGTAGAATACTGCCATTAAGGTTATTTTAATCATGCTTTTAAAAACTGTAGGAATAAAGTTAGACAGCCAAAGTGTCACCACACTTACAGAATTTCTAACATTATACCTTTTCTGCATTTCTTGCAAGTTGAACCAAAAAGACCCAAGCCCTAATTAAAAAAAAAAAAAAAAGCTTAACAGAAAGATCTAATAGCTAGAGTCGTCAACTTGCTCCAAACTTGATACAGCTCTCAGTCCTCAAATAATAAATCCAAACTCCTCCTCATACATATGGAATCACCACCACGTATTTCTCCTTTCATTCTTCTTATGTACTCTGTGAGTATATAGTTTTCTGTACATATACTATATGTGTATACATAAGCCGTATTTTTATTCCTGCTTTGTAGACAAGGATGGAGAGAGGACAGAACATATTCCAGGCGGATCTCTCCCTCTCCATTCTGTGCCTTCAAATCGCATCTCTTCCTCAAAGCAGTAATTAAAATTCAACTTCCACGAAGCCTTCTAAAACTAGTTCCACCCAAATCCAGGAATTTCCACAAACTCCAATATACAAGGGGTAACCCCCAAAACCCCAGAGTTATCTTTTGGAGGGCAGGTCCCTTGTAGTACAGGCTTCCCCTGCTAGCTAAGCATTCTAGGAACCCATTGGCAGCAGTGGACCAGCTAGGGGTGTTATGAGAGGCTTGGTTTGGCTTCAGTGAATTTTTTTGTGGCAAACAGGTGACTGGTTCTCCCACCATGACAACGCACCTGCCACAATGTGCTGTGATGTTCAGCAGTTTTTAACCCAAAACAGCATGACCCCCATGCCCCAGCCTCCCTCTTCACCTGATTTTGCCTTGAGCAATTTTTGTTTCTCTGAGTGAGAAAAGTCCTCAAAGGGAAACATTTTGCTGATGTGGAAGAAGTGAAACAAAACAGCAGACGCACTAAAAGGCATCAACATTGAAAAGCTCAAAAATTGTTTTGAGCAATGGAAAAAGCATCTTGATAAGTGTACTGCATCAAATATAGAGTACTTTGAAGGTGACAAGTTTAAACATGTTAGAATAAATACATATTTTTGATAAGTAAATTCCGAGTTTTTTGGGGGTCCCTCTTCATATTCAATATATTCATTCACTTAACAGTAGCTTTTCTGACACATTTTAAAATGCTTCTGTAAATGTTTATCTTGTCTACCCTGTGTAGTTAAAAGCCTCATATGGACAAAATTCCTATTTTCTCTTTCCAAACACGAGAAATTGTTTTCTTCCTACAGTGTACTGACTGACAGTCAAACTAACCTGGAAATTTCTAAATAAGATACCATTCTTAGATAAGAAATTGGATATGGGAGACAGAATGATCTATCTCACAGAAACAAAGTTTTGTTTGTTGCCTTTATCAGACACCAGAGCAGGTTCAAGAATGTCTCAGTGGATTTAAATGTACCATCATTTGAATATCACTGTTCTGCGTGATAAAACACTGACGTGTTAGAAGTAACGTAAGTGCTCACCTGTCCTTGGGGAAAGGGTTTACTTTGCAGGCTTCCAGCAAAAACTTAACGACTTCAACATGACCTATACCCCAACCCCCCCCAAAGAAAGCAGATTTTAGTATTGGGTAGAAATTCAATCTGGAAAAAAAAAATATATGTATATGTGAGTGGTTTGCGTATTACCCTCAGCAGCAGCCACATGGAGTGCTGTTCTAGAATCGTAGTCCCGCTGTTCCATGTCCATGGCTGACAAAGCAAATCTAAAAATTCATAAGTGCAGCGATTCATTATATAGCAAATAAATTTAATTCACACTGGGACGTTTGCCCCATCAGTTCAGTCTAAGGCCCTGCCAGACATGCCCTCCTTCACCAGGCTCATGCATGGGGTGAGAGACCCATTCAGCCAGAGCGCAGGTGTCAGGTCAATGCCCCTTCCCTTCTTCCTTGGCCTTGTTCTTCTTGGTAAGATGAAAGGTTACCCATCTCTTACAGAATTAAGCTTCAATATATTGTTGTTCGAAACTGAAGAGGAATGGCACAATTACACCAACATTTCTCTCTCAGAAGGGCAAGAAACACCTGTAGTAATGTTCTGTTTTCACAAAGACTCCCATTCTTTAACGTGGTTTGCAAGTACCTTACCGATCAGACTTTAAAACAAGGGTGAGATTAAGCAAATAAACTTTTCCACTTGAAAACTCAGTTGCAACTGCATACAAAAGACCATAGCTACACTGCACACAGCCTTCCTAGTCCTGGTGACCTGCAGGGCACCAAACGTCCCCATCTGCCTCCCCCCACCACACACAAAGCAGAGATCTGGGCAGCGAGAAGGCATGGTCCAATCCAGTAAGCCACTAATATTAATTAGCCAGATTCACTGAACAGCTACCACTTAGTAAAACAGAGATCTGGGTTTTTACAGGCAGAAGAGAAGCATACGATTGCACAACGGGACTAAAGTCTTGGAAGTAGGGGTTTCATTTAAATTTTGTTTGGGTCATTTTTATGAAAGGGAAATGGAAGTGAGCTGTTCACCCAGAAGCAACTTCATAAATAATTGGTAAACCACATGCTAACCCACCCTGTACACATACCTTCGAAGTGCAGACACATCTCCAGTGTACGCAGCAAACAAAAGATTTATCACTGACTTTACCTGAGAAGAAAAGAAAGTTTAGGCATCCACGGGGAAAAGTAAACACACATCAACGTCCAACTGGCACCGGTAAGCGATTTCCATGTGCTTTGAACACTTAAGCTGGACGCACAGGTGTAGCATTTTCTTCATTTCACAGAGAATTGTGAGGAAAAATTCAACAATAAGGCTAAGACACGAGGGAATTAATGGGATCACATCCACTGGAACAAAACCCTGGCAGGTGGCAGCCTGTGGAACTTGCAGAGTTGGGGCAACTGCACGTTGTTTAGGGCCTTTCCCATTGAGTATGTCTCAACACTACAGGCAAGTCTGTATAGTGACACAATTCATCACATCATTCTTAGAAGTTAAATCATGCCATATAAATGTCTAATTCCTGCCAGCAATCACTGTCCCCACCAGTCACTGGCTGCTTTGCAAATCTTCAGAGAGATTAGTGTTAACAGTCATCTTAGACTTAAGAATGGGGCTATACTTCGCTGGAAAGACAGGCTGTTCAATTCAATGCCCAGGTGGTGCAAGCTGGGTCATTCTCAGAACCCATGATGCTGCCTCTGCTTAAAGGGTGGGTAAACTCCCCAAATATTAAGTTATCACGATTGAGTGCTCCAAGACTTCAAAGTGTAACTACTTGTGACATTTGCTCACTTTCTTGTTCTTATGCTTAAGAGGAAAAGGCTAGTTTTCCTAATGGCCACTGGATTTTGGTCTGCATTCACTAAGATATGATCCATCCTTGTTTGAGAAACTATTGATCATAGAATAGTTCAGGCATCCATGAAAAATAGTCCCGAAATACCCAATTTTGTCTTATACTTTGCAATGTCAGTATTTCTACTGATGACCCAGCTGGCACTGGACTCAATGGTAGAAAAGACGTTTAAGTGGAGGGATGGAGAGTCATCAGTTCTCTACCAGCAAAGCCACAGCCCTGTGCTGTGCTTCAAGGTCACCATCTGGACGTCCTTCCTGCCCGGGCGCTGACCTCCCTTCCTACCCAGGCGTCCTCCCTTCCCACCCAGGCACCCTCTCTTCCTGCCAGGGCATCCTCCCTTTCTGTCTGGATGTCCTCCCTTCCTGCTGGCATGTCCTCCTTTCCTGCCTGGGCAAACTCTCTTCCCACCTGCTTGTCCTCCCTTCCCACCTGCTTGTCCTCCCTTTCCACCGTGGCTTCTTTCTCAAAACCTGTTATCTTGTAAACTAACTAGAACTGATTACTGCTGGACTTTTCTAATTCAGCATTTTCAAAGAAACTGGTCCACAAGATGCTCCGTGAAAATAAAAGATGCTGTGGTCAGATACGTTCTTCAAATATATTAAGTCTCCCTCTTGGGGGTTCATGAGCATATAACAGGCTCAGCGAAGTTCCACAGCACAGGAACCTAACTGGCTGAGCACATCCCCAAAGTACTTACTACTGTGTTGGTATCACTGCACAAAAACTGTACTCTTTGAGTCCATTAGCTTCTCTTCCTGTCGCGTCACCCTTCCCCACTCCTGCAGCCTGTACCCTGTGGTGTGGCCCTCCCAACCCCAACTCTCCAGAACAGTTTTCTCAGTGGTGATGAGAAAAAGAGCTCAAGTGCTTTACCTAGAATTTTTTTCTTTTCCTTTCTTTTTTTGACACAAAACAGATATGTTATTATCTTTCACGATTTCTGGGAGTCAGGAATTCAGGAACAGCTTAGCTGGGTGCTCTGGCTCCAGACCTCTCATGAGGTTGCAGTCAAGGTATGAGTTGAGACAGTGGTCATCTGAAGGTTAGACTGGGGCTGGAGGATCCACTGCCTAGTGGCTCACTCAGACGGCTAGCGAGCTGGTGCTGGCTGTGGAGAAGGCCTCGTGTCCTCTCCATGTAGGGGCTCTCCATAGGCTGCTTCAGCAACGTTCCAATAGCGTGATTCCACCCACCCCTCCCATTTCTAGCTGTCCAACTCCTACACCTCAGTTTGACATATTTAAGGGAAAGATGCACGCATTGTCTTTTATGGCTCCAGGTGACTTGTGCTTCTGGGTGATGAACCGCTGTCCAGGTGCCCTTCTTTCTTGTCTAATGGGGTCGATTCTGAATTCTCAAACCTCCCTTCTGCTCCTGGGCCACAGAATACTGACTGGCTGTTATAGATTATTCTCCAGATTTCCACGTGGTCTTTCATCACTGCTGGACAGTTTTCTTTCTTATTGTTCCCTTCAAACTTTCTTCAGGCCTTTAATACCAATGGTGACCCCTAAAAACAGACATGATCCAGACTGCAACTTCACTGCCAAGACTCAAAATTGTCCTCACTTCTCATGGCAAACATTTCCTTATTTCTGAGACTCCCTTTTTGCCAATTCCCTCAAACACGGGCCCTCCACATCCCTAACCTCACCCCAACTCGTCACCTTTGTTTCTAGTGTCGTCAGTGTTTCCCTCCTTCAGTGTTCACTGATTGCCGCCTTCATACAGACACAACCTCACCCTGTTTTGAAAATCCGACACGCGGTCCTATTGTTTCCCTTCGGTGCATATTTTCTGAAAGTATATTTTTAATTTCCTGCTGACCTTCATGCTTACTGGTGCCTCCAAACAGCGCTCTGAAGCGCTCCAGCAGCTCTCCTAAGCCTGAGTCCTTCTGCTCACCCTGTCCTCCCGCAATGTGCCTCCCTGACGCAGAGGTACCCTAATCCTCCTGTCACCCTGGCCCTCCTCCTGTCTGCTGCTCTGCAGATTCCCTGTCCCTTCTCCATGGCCCAATCCTCCAAAGGCAGTCCCCAGCCTCGTTTTTCAATATAATGTCCCTCAAAGATTTCACACATTCCTCTGGGCAGAATGAGTTACCCACCCACATCTTGTTCCTACAAGCCCCGGTCCTACAGCTCCACTTGACTGCCATGTTGTCATCTCTAAAGCAAAAACAGCAAGTGCCATAACAGTGCCCCACCCTGGTTCCAGAAGTCCAGCTCATCTGCCTGCTTGACACTGCCTCCAGGACGTCTAACGGGCATCTCAGACTGATGTCCAAACAGAACTTGCTTTGCTCTGCCCTCCACCATCTACAATCAGCACTACAATTCACCCACTTGCTCAGACCAGCTGTCCAGGCGTGCTGTATTTGCTTGCAGAGGTTGAGGCCTTCACAAGGATGCCTGGTCACCGGTTCCACTCGGGGGCACCCAGCCCATGCTCTTCCCACTAAGGTGTCCTAGCACCCATGCACATCTGCTGGGAGGAAGGGAGCCTTCCTCACCCAAACGTGTTGAGATCTGCTTCTTTCTGGAGACAGAATCAGCCTTTTCTAATTCACAGACCCACCACATGGATCCTGGGGGTATTCCTGGATTCTGTTCTTTCTCTTACACCTCACATCTTGCTCATCAACAAGCCCTCCTTGCTTTACCTCCAAACTGTTTGGGAGCCCATTGCTTCTTACCACCTGTCACTGTTGCCCTAGACCTACCCTGAGGACCACCTCAGCTCACCTGGAGGACTGAGGGCCTTCTCTTACTCAACTCTTGGCTACCACTGGGTTCTTGTGAAAACATCAAGGCACTGTCTGTGCTTTCCCATCATTTCCAGAGTAAAATTAAACTCTGCGGTGGCTTTCAAGGCCCCATGTGCTCTACTCCCTGGTCACAGCATACATCTCAATCCCTTCCACTTGCCCCTTGCAATTCTCCTCCAGCCAAGAGGGATTCTCACTGGAGAATCACTAAAACACTCCTGTTTTCATCACTCCTTGTTCCTTACCTTGCTTTTCCTCTTCGGGCAATTGTCCTCGCCTGACATTTGACATTGTGTGTGTGTGTGTGTGTGTGTACATTTAGCTTGTTTCTTGTCTCTCCCATTGAATGTAGACTCCACATGGGCACAGACCACCTGTCTTTCTGCTCCTCCGTAATCCTAGTGCCTGCCACACATACTAGGTGCTCATTAAACATCTACTGACTAAATGAATTCTCCTCCAAAGCAACAAACATTCAACTTGTCATCACCTGACTTGGAGATTAAATTGTAATCATTATTAATACCTCCACCTCCCTTAACTTTTACGTCTCTGAATATCATTACCAGATTATTCAATCCCAACTGATGCCTCTGCTTCTACTTCTTCCATCCTCCAAAATCTTCTCACATACTTCTAATTATCTCCTCTCCCCACTGGGATGTGACACTACAAGCAGCAGAGTGTCAAGAATCCCAAAATCATTCCCAGTGAAATCTAAATTATTTAGCCTTATACTCAAAGTTCTCCAATCTGGCTAATTAATTTTTCTTTCTCAACCTCAAGAAAGCAAAAGTGGTCTTACTAACTGCTTGTTTTTGTCTGGGTGTCTGTGCTCTTTCCTCCACCTGAGAACCCCTCAACTCCTCATCAAATCCTCCCCTTGCCTGGCTTGAAAGCCTCTTCCTTGTGCCACACCTCCCCAGGCCATCCCATCCCAGCATTTATTATGAGCCTGGCTTGTCACCAGCTTCCCACAGTGGCCCGTGCCAGGGATGGAGTCCGTGTTAGATACCTCCTCCTCCCCACAATTCTGAATGTTCCTCCTGCTTCATCTACACCACGGTATATACCATCCCTTGCAAGCATTCTTTTTCTACTCATATCTCACTGAAACATTCTTACCCCTTCCTAAATTGGAAGTCATCTTCTCCCACATTTGCCTCACTATGACACTATCTCACAGGACCACAAGGTGTGTTTGTGTATCTTCTCTCCCCACTACTGAAGGAAAATCCAGATCCTGACATTCATCCCACTGATATATTCATTATCCATAGTTCTTAGTTGAAAAAATGCATTAGTCCTTCTAAGCAGTAAATTATCATGTTTCAGTGACTGTAGGTATGAACTATATTCCTTTTTAAAATCTAAACCTAGATCATTACTTTGAAGAAATTTTATTATAGTTTGTGTGTATCATTGGGTCACTTAATTATTCCGTTTCAGAAGTTCTGAGAGTTACTTATTAATAAAGCCCAAGAAAGGCAGATTTGAGAATGTAATCAGTTT